CCATTCCTTGAAATCCAAAATCATGATCAATATCAGGACCATAGTAAGAAATATCTATTTCGTTTGTTCCTTTTTCAATTTCTTCAGCGGCTTCTTCATAAAAGATGCTTGCTAAATAACGATAATGAATACATAAGGAATTATAGTCTTCATTTTCATTTTCCTCGGCAATTTGTTTTGCACACCAGCTGGCTCTTAAAGAACAAAGTCCCTTAAAGAAATTACTTGAATTTTTTTGAAGTACAAAACTATAACAGTGAATAGCTAAGAAATAACTAATTAGTCCATGCTGGAGATTCCGGTTTTTTTTAAAATTAAGAGGTTCTCCCTTATTGAGGGTGAGGGCTTGCTCCTGCCTTTGATCTTTAAAATATTTGATTTTTTCATTATCGTGGATTCCACTAACAAAGTGTTCTTTCAAAGAAGCAAACCAGCATGACGGACAGACAATAATGCTATAAATCAATGGGTAAATTAATCCAAATTGCTTGCTTGGAATGTAATTCCTTCTTAAGTCCAAGTCAAGAGAAGAAGTATTGAGTCTGCCTCTTCCACTTCTTAGCATCTCAATATGGAATTGGGTTTCACAAATGGGGCAAGAAGTGGCATCCTTGGAGAAGAAAGAAATAGTATTATCCATTCTTATTAATGCTTATTTTAAGGTTTAAGGTAATTGATGATTTCACTACTACCAACTTCAACATCATTAAACAACTTATCTGTCCATCGAACAAAAAAATTATAAGCGACCACCGATGGAATTGCAATGACAAGTCCTATTGCTGTGGTGATGAGAGCATCTGAAATTCCAGATGCAACGGATCCTTGTTCAATATTGCCTTGTGAGATAACGACGAATGACTTGATCATACCTAACACTGTACCTAAAAGACCAAGAAGAGGTGCGATAGTTGAGATTGTGTTAAGGGAATTGAGAAATTTGTCAAATTGCTGTAATTGTTTTTGTGTTTCAATTTGTACAATGCTTTCTAAATGTTCTTTACTTTCATTAATGTTTTCAAGGATGACCTTCACCACATAGGCCAAGGGGCTTTGGCGAATTGAATGATTACAGGTTTGCATGGCTAACTTTACTTTTTCAGTCGTCAAGTGTCCTTCCAATGTAAGTTTAATTTCCTTGATGAATTGAGCACGATTACTTTTAAATCGAATGAAAAAAAATATTCTCTCCAAAATGATTGCCAAAGTAACAATCGAAATACCAAGTAAAATCAATACAATGTAATTCTTAGTGTTTAAAATTTCCATGTTAACTTTTATTTGTTTTTTAATTTTTTTTTCTTTTCTGTCAGCAGGCTATCGATTTCGTTGAAAAGTTTTTTTATTTCATTAATATTGAGAGAAACGACTTTTTTTTTTTTTAAAACGGGTAAAAGCATTTTCTCCTAATTCCCGAAGTTTTTTATTTATTTTACTTTCCAAAATTTCAACTTCAATTTTCCTTAATTGAAGTTGAAATTTATCGGGATCGTTCTTTTTCTTGTCTTTTTGAATGGTAATCCAATCATCAAATTTTTTTCTAATTTTCATTGATTTCTTAAGGTAAATAATAACATAGAAACTGTTTTTAGCATTGATAAAACTTAAGTTAAATTGAAGCTTTTTTTAAAAAGTTTTCATTAAAATATGTTAATCTTAACTAAGTTTTTAAAACAATTATTTGACTATATTACTTTAATAATATAGATGAGCAGAAAAAAATGAATAAAAAGAATAAAGTTAACATGGTAAACAAAGATTTAGAAGCTAATCGAATTATCTCAAATTCACTTAATAAATTTAGCTTATCAAAAATAGCACTCTTTTTAATATTGTTAGTTTTTATACTTATTGCTTGTAGTGACACAGACAGTGGTGGTAGCATCATCGTGTTTGTGCCTATTACAGACAGTGGTGATAGCACCCCCGTGCCTATTTACACCCTCACCTATTCTACCGCTTTTAAGGACAACACCAATGATATAGACGGATTGGGTGGGGCGCTATCTGTTGCCGTTAGTCTTGATGGAAGCAATGTCTATGTGGCAAGTTCTTTCGATCATGCTTTGGCAGTGTTTAATAGAAATACGACAACTGGCGTACTCACCTATTCCACTAATTTTAAAGACAATACTAATGGAGTGGACGGATTGGGTGGGGCGGAATCTGTGACCGTTAGTCCTGATGGAAACAATGTCTATGTGGCAGGTCGGGATGATGATGCCTTGGCAGTGTTTAATAGAGATACGACAACTGGTGCACTCATCTATAGCACCGTTTTTAAAGATGGACAAGGTGGAGTGGACGGATTGGATGGGGCGGAATCTGTGACCGTTAGTCCTGATGGAAACAATGTCTATGTGGCAGGTCGGGATGATGATGCCTTGGCAGTGTTTAATAGAGATACGACAACTGGTGCACTCATCTATAGCACCGTTTTTAAAGATGGACAAGGTGGAGTGGACGGATTGGGTGGGGTGCAATCTGTGACCGCTAGTCCTGATGGAAACAATGTTTATGTGGTAGGTCGGGATGATGATGCCTTGGCAGTGTTTAATAGAGATACGACAACTGGTGCACTCATCTATAGCACCGTTTTTAAAGACGGACAAAATGGAGTGGATGGATTGAATAGTGTTCGATCTGTGACCGTTAGTCCTGATGGAAACAATGTCTATGTGGTAGGTAATAGCGATAGAGCCTTGGCGGTGTTTAACAGGAATAAGACAACTGGTGTACTTATCTATAGCACCGTTTTTAAAGACGGACAAGGTGGAGTGGATGGATTGTATGGTGCTCAATCTGTCACCGTTAGTCCTGATGGAAACAATGTCTATGTGGTAGGTGATTTCGATGATGCCTTGGCAGTGTTTAATAGAAATACGACAACTGGCACACTCATCTATTCCACTAATTTTAAAGACGGACAAGGTGGAGTGGACGGATTGGATGGGGCTCAATCTGTGACCGTTAGTCCTGATGGAAACAATGTCTATGTGGTGGCAAGTTTGAACGATCATGCCTTGGCAGTGTTTAACAGGAGTAGGATCCAGTGAAAATGTTGATTCTCGGCTTTATTTATTTGACTTTATTTAGTAATAAGCGGTGTTTTTCGAGCTCGAGCTTAATTCCACTTGACAAAATCATTTTAAAAAGTTTTCATTAAAATATGTTAATCTTAACTAAGTTTTTAAAACAATTATTTGACTATATTACTTTAATAATATAGATGAGCAGAAAAAAATGAATAAAAAGAATAAAGTTAACATAGCAAACAAATATTTAGAAGCTAATCGAATTATCTCAAATTCACTTAATAAATTTAGCTTATTAAAAATAGTACTCTTTTTAATATTGTTAGTTTTTATATTTATTGCTTGTAGTGATACAGACAGTGGTGGTAGCACCACTACGCCTATTTACACCGTAATCTTTAATACAGACGGTGGTAGCACGGTTGTTTCCCAGCAAGTCAATTCTGGTGAGAAAGCAACTGAACCTACCGATCCTACACGAGCAAATTACAGCTTTAGTGGATGGTACGAAGATGAATCATTGACCACTATTTTTTATTTTGAAAGTACGATAGTTACTAACGACCTAACTCTGTATGCCAAATGGAACATAATAGAATATACTCTCACCTATAGCACCGTTTTTAAAGATGGACAAGATGGAGTAGACGGATTGGAAGGGGCATTTTCTGTCACCGTTAGTCCTGATGGAGAAAGTGTCTATGTGGTAGGTTTTGACGATGATGCCTTGGCAGTGTTTAACAGAGATACAACAACTGGGGCACTTACCTATAGCACCGTTTTTAAAGATGGACAAGATGGCGTGGACGGATTAGATGGGATAACCTCTGTCGTGGTTAGTCCTTATGGAAACAATGTCTATGTGGTAGGCTATAATGATAATGCCTTGGCAGTGTTTAACAGAGATACGGCAACTGGCGCACTTACCTATAGCACCGTTTTTAAAGATGGACAAGATGGCGTGGACGGATTGAATAGAGCATCTTCTGTTACCGTAAGTTCTGATGGAAACAATGTGTATGTGGCAGGTCGGGATGATGATGCCTTGGCAGTGTTTAACAGAGATACGGCAACTGGCGCACTTACCTATAGCACCGTTTTTAAAGACGGACAAGGTGGAGTAGACGGATTGGGGGGTACTCTATTTGTCACCATTAGCCCTGATGGAAACAATGTCTATGTGGCAGGTCGAGATGATAATGCCTTGGCAGTGTTTAACAGAGATACGGCAACTGGCGTACTCACCTATAGTACCGTTTTTAGAGACGGACAAGATGGCGTGGACGGATTAGTCACCTGATGGAAACAATGTCTATGTGGCAGTTGATGACGGTGTTTGACAGATGATAACTGGTGCCTTACCTATAGCACCGTTTTTAAAGACAGAGATACGGCAACTGACCGGCGATGGAAACAATATCTATCTGATGGCAATTTTTAATAGTTTTGTTGATGCCTTGGCAGTGTTTTTAGTACTCACCTATAGTACCGTTTTTAAAGACGGTAATAAAGGTGTGGACGGATTGGGTGGGGCGAAATCTGTGACCGTTAGTCCTGATGGAAACAATGTCTATGTGATAAGTGCTTCAGGATGATGCCTTGGCAGTGTTTAACAGGAGTAGTAGCCAGTGAAATTGCGATTCTCGGCTTTATTTATTTGACTATATTACTTTAATAATATAGATGAAAAAAAAATGAATAAAAGAATAAAGTTAACACAGTAAACAAATATTTAGAAGCTAATCGAATTATCTCAAATTGACTGGAAATTTAGCTTATTAAAAATAGCATTCTTTTTAATATTGTTAGTTTTTATACTTATTGCTTGTAGTGACACAGACAGTGGTGGTAGCATCACCGGACCTATTTACACCTTTAACTATAGTACCGTTTTTAAAGACGGACAAGGTGGAGTGGACGGATTGGGTGGGGCGAAATCTGTGACCGTTAGTCCTGATGGAAACAATGTCTATGTGGTAAGTTCTCAGGATGATGCCTTGGCAGTGTTTAACAGGAGTAGTAGCCAGTGAAATTGCGATTCTCGGCTTTATTTATTTGACTATATTACTTTAATAATATAGATGAGCAGAAAAAAATGAATAAAAAGAATAAAGTTAACACAGTAAACAAATATTTAGAAGCTAATCGAATTATCTCAAATTCACTTAATAAATTTAGCTTATTAAAAATAGCATTCTTTTTAATATTGTTAGTTTTTATACTTATTGCTTGTAGTGACACAGACAGTGGTGGTAGCATCACCGGACCTATTTACACCTTTAACTATAGCACCGTTTTTAAAGACGGTACTAACGGTGTGGACGGATTGGGTGGGGCGAAATCTGTGACCGTTAGTCCTGATGGAAACAATGTCTATGTGGGAGGTTGGGATGATGATGCCTTGGCAGTATTTAACAGAAACACGACAACTGGAGCACTTACCTATTCCACTAATTTTAAAGATGGACAAGATGGACAAGATGGAGTGGATGGATTGGGTCATGCAATCTCTGTCACGGTAAGTCCTGATGGAAACAATGTCTATGTGGCAGGCTATAATGATGATGCCTTGGCAGTGTTTAACAGAAACACGACAACTGGTGCACTCACCTATAGCACCGTTTTTAAAGACGGTACTAACGGTGTGGATGGATTGAAAGGGGCATATTCTGTCACGGTAAGTCCTGATGGAAACAATGTGTATGTGGCAGGTTTTGACGATGATGCCTTGGCAGTGTTTAACAGAAACACGACAACTGGTGCACTCACCTATAGTACCGTTTTTAAAAACGGTACTAACGGTGTGGATGGATTGGATGGTCCAGCCGCTGTCATGGTTAGTCCAGATGGGGAAAATGTCTATGTGGCAGGCTATAATGATGATGCCGTGGCAGTGTTTAACAGAAATACAACAACTGGTGTACTCACTTATAGCACCGTTTTAAAAGACGGAGTAAATGGTGTGGACGGATTGGATGGTCCAGTCGCTGTCACCGTTAGCCCTGATGGAAACAATGTGTATGTGGTAAGTCTTGTCGATGATGCTTTGGCTGTGTTTAACAGAAATACAACAACTGGTGTACTCACTTATAGCACCGTTTTAAAAGACGGTACTAACGGTGTGGACGGATTGGATGGGGCGAAATCTGTGACCGTTAGTCCTGATGGAAACAATGTCTATGTGGTGAGTTCTCAGGATGATGCCTTGGCAGTGTTTAACAGAAACACGACAACTGGGGCACTCAACTATAGCACCATTTTTAAAGACGGTACTAACGGTGTGGACGGATTGGATGGGGCATATTCTGTCACGGTTAGCCCTGATGGAAACAATATCTATGTGGTAAGTGAGGAGGATGATGCCTTGGCAGTGTTTAATAGGAGTAGTAGCCAGTGAAAGTTAGTGGTATTGCTTTAGTGAATTATATAGAATATAAGAATAATCATGCACATTAGCTTATCGTGGCATTTTAAAAAGTTTCTAAGAAAGCTTATAGTTCCCGATGGCAATTGTTGATACTCATTCCCATCTTACTTTATGCAAATTGCCTGTTGAAGACCATCTTCGATTAGCAAGTGAAAATGGGATTACTCACATCCTTGATCCTGGACTTCATTTTGAAGATTTTGAAAATCGTTATCAAAACCTTCAATACTTTCCAGAAGTATTGTTAGGATTGGCAGTAGCACCCCATTCCAGAATTTCTGAAAAATTTAAAGAAGAAAGTTTAGAAGAATTGATAGGGGGTATGGAGGCAGTCCTCGAGAGGTATAAGAAACACATTTCAGCAATTTGTGAAATTGGGCTTGACTACTATCACCTGAATCGTACAAAAGACTTCCAGAAAAAACTTTTTTTGGAACAGTTGAAATTAGCCGAAAAATATGACTTGCCGTTCTTTTTGCACATACGCGATGCTTATGAAGATGCTTTAGAGGTCGTTAAACAATCGGGTTATCAAAGGGGGGCGGTACATTGCTTTACAGGGAATGAAAATAACGCCAAGGCATGTTTAGAATGGGGACTCTGTCTTTCTTTTTCAGGAATGGTGACTTTTAAGAAGAATCTTAGTCTACAAGAAATTGCAAAAAAAATTCCTTTGGATAGAATCCTCACCGAGACGGACGCTCCCTTTCTGTCGCCTGTCCCCTTTCGAGGGAAACCTAATCAGTCAGCTTATCTTCTCCATATACAGCAATTCATTGCTCATCTTCGAGGAATAGAAGTGGAGGCATTGAACAAGCAATGCTTTAAGAATTTTAAAAATCTTTTGAAAATAGATTAAGTAATAGAAGGGTAGGATTTTAAAAAAACTAAAAACTAATAACTAAAGATGAGAAATTCTTTTGGATCTAGTTGGTAGTTTCCTATTTTGATTTGATAATTAAAAGGGTAGCTATTTTTCTTATCGTTAGAGGAATGATTGCCGACTTCTCCGATAACCGTTCTTGCTTCAATCAAGTCACCCTTTTTAAGGTTCACTTTGTTGAGTCCTTTGTAAACAGTCTTAAACCCAAATTCATGGGAAACGATGACTTCCTTACTGGTTCCCTGGTCAATGATGTCTTCTATCCGTCCTCGTGAGGTAGAAATAACGGAGGAAGTATTATGGATGTTTAGAGACAAGTTTTGGGAGTTCAATTCTTTTTCATTGATCGTGTAAAAAGGAGCAACCATTTGATCTTTGCTTGGTGTTTCTGAATTGGCTTTTTTAATTGGCCAAAGGACAGGTAGGCTTCTAATCATTTCCTTTCTTCTACTAATAAAAAATTCAAATCGACTGATTTGATTTAATATACTATCCATCTCTTCGATGTCTTGGTCCACTACTTCGTAAAAATTGTTGTCCATTCTTTCAAAAAACTTGTCGTTTAAAAGAGGTAGGTTATTGATCTGTTGAGATTGTAGCTTCTCATTCTTTGCGGGGTTAAGCAATCTTCCACCGATGGCTTTTTTAGTAAAACTTTTGTCGAATAGGATGGCAATGTTGTTTTTAATATAATTTTCTTTTCTTGCATGATTGTAGAAATAATCTTTCATTAGGCTTTTATAATTTTTAGCCAGTTCTTGTTTGTGATCAAGTAATTTTTTTTGTTGATACAATTGATAGGAAATTTTGATTTGCTTAAAACTGAAAAATGTGATGAAGAGAAGAAAACATAAAAAAAAAATGAAAAAGCTGGAGGCAAGCCAACTTGGTTTAGAAATTCGAATACTTTTGCTCTTGGAATGCGAGTAAATATAGATATAACTTCTTCCTCGATTAAAAAATTTTTTTAGAAATTTCATAATAATTGATTTATTTTGGGAATTTATGGCGGTATAAGAAGCTGACCCTCTCTAAGAATTTCTTTTCTTTTTCATTTAGTCCATTGATGCCTTTTAAAGATATGATGTCAAGTAGTTGATCAATTTTATTTTCAATTTCCTGTTCGTTCATTTTTGTTTCATCAAGATTGGTCACATCATTTTTAGGATAAAACTGGGAGGAACTAAAGAAATTCTTATTATTTTTTGTTTTCCTAAAGGAAATTATCGTATTTTCCCACCATCGTTTAAGAGAATAATGAAGCGATGAAAAGTTACGGTTTTTTCGGAATAAAATGATGAAAAGTAAAGCTGAAACTACCCCTCCAATGTGTCCAGAATGGGAAATTCTCATATTACTACCGAATAATATAGGAATAAAAACTGACAAACCTAATGCAATAAGCAATAAATTTTTGCCTTTGATAGTAACTGGAAGAATGAAAAACAATAATAAAGTAATTTCTCGATCTCGAAAAAGAATAGAAAAAGCTAAAAGCAAGCCAAAAATGGACCCACTTGCTCCAACGGTATACCCTAAGGTTGTTATATTATTAGAATCAATTAAAACCAATAGTGCATCTACAAGAAAAATGAATAATCCAGCACCCAGTCCTGAAGCTAAATAGAACTGTAAGAAAGGTTTTGTGCCTATTTCTCGTTCAATATCAGAACCAATAAAAAACAGCGCCAACATATTTAGAAATAAGTGCCACCAGTTGGCATGAAGAAACATGTAGGAAAAAATTTGCCAAATTTTATATTCATAAACAACGGAAAGGTAGTCTAATGCAAAATTTCTTTCAAAAGAAAGGGGTGTGCTTGCTAATACGGAAGAGATGTTTTGTATGAGAAATATTCCAATATTGATAAAAAGAAGATTTTTAATACCATGCTCCATTTTTCTATTATAATACACCTTTATTTAAGCCTCACTAACCCGTGGTTATATAATTATAACCTGTTTATAGGTCCTTTTTCTAATTCTCGGTATGTTTTAATGTCTAATTGAATATTCTTAACCTTTATAAGAATAAGTAAAATTCATCGGAAAAATAAGGTTTTGACCATTTCTTTATTACCTTGTATTAAAATCTCACTTATATTACAATTAAAATAACAATAAACGATCAAATAAGCAAATAATCAGTGGGAAATGATGTTATCATTCTTGATTTTGGCGCACAATACAGTCAATTAATAGCCAAAAAGATAAGGAAAATAGGTGTTTATTGCATTATTCTTCCTTATAACACTCCTCTTCCTAAAATTCTCTCTTATGAACCTAAGGCAATCATCCTTTCAGGGGGACCGTCTTCAGTGTACGGAGAAAATGCTCCTCAATGCGATCTCCAAATATTTGATTTTTCCATCCCTATTTTAGGAATTTGCTACGGGTTTCAATTAATAGCCCATTTTTTTAATGGAAAAGTTAAAAGTTCCTCAGAAAGTGAATATGGTCTTTCCAAAGTAAAGATTTTAGACACACAAAACTCCCTTTTCTCGGGAATTTGCAAAGGACAATCATCCAAATCGTTGAAGGTTTGGATGAGCCATGGCGATGAATTGGACCCCAAGTCTATAAATGATTTTAAAGTGATTGCCACGACTAAAAACAGTGTTGCTGCTATTGCCAACCCTAAGAAAAAAATTTATGGTGTCCAATTTCATCCAGAAGTAAGTCACACCGAAAAGGGTGAAAAAATTCTGTTGAACTTCATTACTAAGATCGCAAAATTGAAATTGGATTGGAATATGCCTTCCTTCATCGAAATGGAAACCGAGAAAATTCGCAAACAAATTGGCAATAAAAAGGTTATTCTCGCTTTAAGTGGAGGCGTGGATTCTTCGGTGTTGGCAGTCTTCCTTCATCGTATTATTAAAGATCAGCTTTTATGTGTCTTCATTGATAATGGATTGCTTCGTTACAACGAAGCTAAGGAAGTAGTGGCACAGTTTCGCAAGCATTTTTTAATTCCACTTAAATATGTAAATGCGAGAAAAATTTTTTTAAAAAAACTTAGATGGGTGAGTAATCCAGAAAGAAAGCGTCGAGTTATCGGAAAATTATTTATTAAAATCCTTAAAAAAGAGTCTAAAGGTTTTTATTATCTTGCCCAGGGGACTCTTTATCCTGATGTAATTGAATCAGTTTCTCCTCATGGTCATTCACAGACGATCAAGACCCACCACAACAGAGTGAAACAAGTTTTGAAGATGCAGGCACAAGGGCGACTCGTTGAGCCCTTTCAGCAGTTGTTTAAGGATGAGGTACGTGAAATCGGCAAGAAGTTCGGATTGCCTGATTCGATTATCCATCGTCAACCTTTCCCTGGTCCTGGATTAGCCGTGCGTATCATAGGACGAGTTACCCTAAAACGATTAGTCATGTTGCGGAAGGTGGATTGGATTTTCCAAAAAAAATTAATGGAGTATAATCAACAAAAAAATTTTTGGCAGTCCTTTGCCGTGCTTCTGCCTGTTAAGTCAGTTGGTGTGGTCGGAGACAGGCGTAGTTACGGGTATACAGCTGTGTTAAGAGCCGTTTCTAGTTTAGACGGAATGACAGCTGATTTTGAAATATTAAGTAAGGAAGAGCTTACCGAAGTAGCAAATGAAATCGTTGGTAGAGTGGAAGGAATTGCACGTGTTGTTTGGGACATCACCTCCAAACCGCCTGCTACAATTGAATGGGAGTAGGGGATGTCTGGTCACAGTAAATGGGCGACAATCAAGCACCGCAAGGGTTTAGCTGATGCCAAGAGGGGAAAACTATTTAGTAAGATTGCACGAGAAATCACTGTAGCAGCGCGCAATGGTGGTGGAGATACAGCATCTAATCCACGACTTAAAACTGTGATCATGACAGCTCGAAGTGCTAGCATGCCAAATAAAAATATTGAAAATGCTATCCGCAAGGGTACAGGTGAAAGTAAAGATGGGGTTGATTACATGGAAAGTACCTATGAGGGATATGGACCTTATGGAGTAGCAATCCTTGTCAATTGTCTTACTGACAACAAAAATCGAACCGTAGCAGAAGTCAAGAAGGTGTTCTCTAAAAATACAGGCAACCTAGGAGAGATTGGATCAGTCGCATGGCAATTTGAAAAAAAAGGCGTTATTCATATTGAAAAGGGATCAATTGAAGAAGATCAAATTTTGGGAATAGGTCTGGAGCTTCCTATTGAAGATGTGATCTCTGAAGAGGAAGGTTATATTATCTACACTACTATAGAGAATTTCAATGAAGTCTATGAGCAGCTTAAAGAAAATAAAGGAAAATCTTTTGAATTAGCGCATGCCGAAATTTCAATGATCCCAAAAAATACTATTGAAATAAATAAAGATCAAGCCGAGAAACTTCAATCATTAATCGATCAATTGGATGATCTTGATGATGTTACATCTATTTCCTCAAATGAATTGGTGAGGGGATAGAATGATTATTGGGATAGACCCTGGCTTTGCTACTATCGGCTATGCTTTCATTGCACCTTCTAATAATGAGCCTCGCATAGTGGACTTAGGAATGATTGTTACTGACAAAAAAAAAAATTTTTATGATCGTTTGACAGAGATTGAAGAAAACTTGCATCAACTTCTAGATCGTCACTTGCCTTCTATTAAGCATATTGATTGCGATGCTGTGGTGGAAAAAATATTTTTCATGAAGAACAAAAAAACTGCTATTGAAGTCGCCCATGCTAGAGGAGTGATTTGCAACTTATTTAATAAACGTGGCATTAGAATCTTTGAATACACTCCTAATGAAATTAAAAAGGCTATCACTGGTCACGGTCAATCTTCTAAAAAAGAAATTCAATCCATGGTGATTCGATTGCTTAATTTGAAAACGCCCATTTCACAAGATGATATTGCTGATGCTTTAGCAATGACAATATGTCACTGGTTCTATCAAGAAAAGAATTGGGGTTCTCAACCCATGAAAAGTTTTCCTAATCATTAATAATTTGTAGCGGATTGAGTACGATGTTTGATTATCTTTTTGGTAAAATTACTTTCAAAGAAGAGAGTGTGATCACTATTGACAATCAAGGTGTGGGTTACCTTGTCTATGTGCCATTAATTTTTGCACAGGAATTAGCAGTTGAAGAAGACAAGAAAGTTTATATCCATCAAGTGGTAGGTGAGAAAGAAAACACACTTTATGGGTTTCGGAGTCGATTAATGAGATCACTTTTCCAATCTCTTATTGGGGTTTCTGGTGTGGGTCCTAAAATGGCGATTAAGGTTTTAGATGACTTTTCTCCCGAACAACTCCTTGACATTTTTGCGAACAAAAGAATTGAACAATTAAAAAATGTAAAGGGATTGGGAAGCAAGACACGAGAGAAAATTTTTATCGATTTAAATAAAAAAGCAAAGGAAATGATTGTTCTTTTCAAGGTGGAAAAAAATGTTTCCATACCAAATTCCTCACTGGAGCAAGAAGTCAAAGCAAGTTTAATACAGCTAGGTTATAAGGAAAGCGAGTTAAAAGATGTCGTGCCTTCTATCATCCAAGACCTCTCTTCCGAGGGATTGCCCACCATAGAAAGAGTAATCAAGGATACCTTAGAAAAATTATCTAAATTAAAATGACTGAAGACAAAAATAAAAAAAGCGGATTAGATAAACTTTACGAAAGTTCCATTGAATACTTGGTACACCCAAAGAAGCATTTGAAAGAATACTTATGGGCAATTATTATTGTTCTTCTAATTCGATCCACCATTGGGGTTGTCTACCAAATCCCGACAGGGTCAATGATACCTACTTTCAAGATAGGGGATACCCTTTTAGCTAACCGATTCTACTATGGTCTTAAGATCCCTTTTACGGAAGACAAGGCGGGGTTTCGTTTGCCAGCTATTCGAGATCCAGGAGTGGGAGACATCATCATTTTTAGAGGACCTAAGGAAGAGAATTTCTATGAATTCAGGTTAGACTACGATCCGCGAAAACAAAAATTCTTAAACCAAATCAATCAGGAATCATCTTTCAAAGGGCTTATCTCCCATGATGATTATGACATCTTGGACAAACAGGAAAACTATATTATTCTCCATCGCTCTCAAGCAAATGTTTGGATTCGGCTTCATGAGAAAATTTACAATACCTACAAGAAAGAAATTCAAGATTTAAACATCGGTAGCTTAGAAAAACATAAAATTACAATGACTTATCAATTTAGCAAGCCGTCATCTTTTATTAAACAAGTTTTCAACACACCTGTAGCTGGAGTGAGTATCATTGCTACAGTCTTGTTCAAAACCCCCTATTTCTATCTCTATCAAAAAGCCTTGGCCGTTCTTTCTCCTCAGTTGAAAAACAATAAAGGAGAAGTTGCTTTTTATCCAAATGATTGGGTGGATCTAACCAAAGAATATGTTAAGCGGGTTATTGCCAAAGAAGGTGACAAGGTGGAAATTAAGAAAAAAGTAGTTTATGTCAATGATGAACCTTTAGTTTGGGCTAAGGAATATGAAATTGACGAGGAAAGTGCAGGATTCCTCATCACCAAGGAGACGCTTACCCATTCAAAAAAAAATGAAGATGGCTCTTTTAATCATCCATTGAGAGTTTCAACATCACTCATAGTTCCTGAAATTGAATTTGAAAAAAAACACTGGCCCTACGATACGCAGACTAAGACTGCTTCACTTTTTCGGGATAGCTTCGGACCTATCACAGTTCCAAAAAACCATTTCTTTGTAATGGGTGATAACCGAGATGAATCTTTGGATTCCCGCTATATTGGAAGTGTTCCTAAAATGATGATCAGTGGGACACCAATGTTTATTTTCTATCCTTGGAGCCGAAAAGGACTTGTGAAATGATTTTCTGTAAGTTAAACCATTAATATAACTTTTATCCTTTGCTGAATCCTATAATTTCCTAAAAGATTTAAAAGATGCTTGAAAATATCTTTTTAAACGGGTTGCTTAATAGTACACTCTTTAAAAAAATTTGGAAACAAGATTTTCCTTTCATGATGAAAGAAATTTTGGTAGTCATCCCATTGAATATAAATTTGGAAACAAAAACAAAAATTCTTTTCAATCATTCGTTCAATTAATTTTGTCTACTTTTAAGTATTATCGAGGCATGCCATTTGAGTATATTTTTGGGAAGGCTTCATTTCTCGAAGACGAATTTATAGTGAACCGGCATACTCTTATTCCCCGTCCTGAAACGGAGGAATTAGTTTCTAAAGTCATTACAGATCCTTATTTTACTTACCTTCTTGAACGTTCAAATAAAAAAAATATAAAAATTCTTGATATTGGAACAGGTTGTGGAGTGATCGGAATTACTTTGAAAAAATACTTTTCTAATGCCGATATAACAGGGGTGGATATTTCTAGTTCAGCTCTTCGAGTAGCAAAAAGAAATCATCAAAGAATTCTTCCTAAATCTATCAAGAATGGAATAAGGTGGATAAATGCAGATGTTTTTTCAGGGGAAGTTTCCAAAAAGTTGAATGAAGAAAGGTTCGATTTAATTGTTTCCAATCCTCCCTACATTGGTTGGGAAGAAAAAAAAGATTTATCTTCTTCAGTTGTCGACTATGAACCTTCCATCGCTTTATTTGCAGGATGGGATGGATTGGATTTTTACAGGAATTTGTCCTATCATCTTGATGGGTGGCTTGAGAAGGAGGGAATGGTTTATTTAGAATTGGGCTGGAAGCAAGGAGAGAAGGTAAAAAGACTTTTCCCTTTTCTCAAAGGAGAACTACAAGAAGACATCTTCGGGAAAACTCGTTTTTTCCGTGGGCTTTGTAAAAATAACAATTTTAAAGATAAAAAATAAAAAATTTTAGTTGTAATCAGAAAAATTCCAAATAATCTTTTTTTCCAAACTCTCTTCGTCAAATACTTAAAATTCCATTAATTCCTAATACGCAGATATTCACTGCTAATCAAAATAAAAAATTTATGGGAATTCGATGATCACTGTCTCTAAAGTTGTGAACTTTCTTAGCTGATTCTTTGAATTGAATAAAAATCAAAACTAATTTTTCTAACTTTGAATTTCGATATTATAGAGATGGTGAATCATACTGAATTGAATGAAGTAGCTGAAAACGAAGAAGTTTTGCAGGAAGAGGATCAAAATTTAAGACAGGAATCTTATTACTATATTAAGGTTAAATACGGAAATTCAAAAGGTAGAATGAAAGCCTTCCAGATTTTTTTATGTGGACTTTTAGGTATAGAGATAAATAGAAATTTTAGTTCCGATTTATTTGAAGTTACCTTCCTTAATCAACCTAAGATTATTTTTTCGAACTTTGAAATTGTTTTTGAAAAATTTAATGTCAATATGGGATTTCAAGAATTTTTAGGTGAACTGGAAAAACTTTATCTCACTACTGTTAAGAATCATTTTTTTGTCTACAATAACTTTATTAAGCGAATGAAGAAAGAATTTTATAACAAAAAATTTGAATTTAAAAAAAACTTATCACACCAAAAAATTTTAGAAATGCTTTATGAGCGTATTAATTTTTTTTTTGAAACTCAATGGAACCTTAAAGATGCTGAATTAGAAATGAAGTCAGAGAAGGTTAGTAAAGATAAATTTTTTAATTTTAAGGGAAATACTATGGATGAAATCAATAAAGAAAAAGAAACCAATGAAGACAAAGAAATCAATGATGAGTCAGAAGAAGAAACTATTCAATGGAATTTAGATCCAGAGGTAGGTGTTAAAACATACCTTCCTGTCATTGATCCTGTTCATGGAAGGGTGGCTACTGATTTAAAAAAAAATGACAAGATCTATGTTTCTCTTAATAAAGATAATGAAAAATCAATTTATCCTTACCGTTACTCTGATGTGAAGTTAGGAAAAATTATAGATATTAAAAGAAATGAGAAAGGTATTTTACACTTTTTAGTTGAATTGGATTCAGGTAAATTTGGAGATGTTGAAGTTGATGATGAATTTTTTAAAATTAAGAAATACCTTAATGGAGAAGCAACAATTAAACGGGAAAAGAGGAAAAACATACAAGTGATTCTTGATTTTTGTTTAGTGTTTTTTTCTATCATGATGATTTACTCTTTTCTGTTTGTCTCTATCTCTTTTATTTTTTAATTAATAGTGAGGAAAACAATTCTTATTGATTGCTATGGTCTTTTTTATAGGTCCTATTATGCCTTTATAAAAAATCCCCTTGTAAACAGTAAGGGCGAAGAAACCTCTGTTATTTTCTCTTTTTTTAATTCACTACACAAGGTGATTAAGGAACGGGAGCACGATCATCTTGTTTGTGTTTTGGATTCCAAAGGCAAAACATTTCGTCATGAAATCTTCAAAGAGTATAAGGCTCATCGTCCACCTATGCCGAATAGTCTTTCAAAGCAGATAAAAGTTATCGTTCAAGTGCTTGATTTCTTGGGCATTCCAGTTGTTTCAAAAACCTCTTTGGAAGCTGATGATCTCATTGCTCATTACTCGAGACAATCACAAGAAGAAGTAGAAATTTTCTCTCACGATAAGGACTTGATGCAACTAGTCAATGAAAGAGTCCGTGTTGTTCAATTAGATCGCCAAAACCAACAGTATGTGATTTTTGATCAAGAGAGAGTCGAAAAAAAATTCCAGACACCACCCAACCATCTTGTTGACTACTTATCCTTGATGGGGGACAGTAGCGATAATATTCCCGGTGTAAAGGGAGTGGGTGAGAAAACCGCTGTCATGCTCATCAATGAATTTGGCGATCTTGATTCCATCTATAAAAATTTAGATAAGATTCCAGAGAAACATAGGAAAAAGTTGATTCAGGATAAGAACTCAGCATTCATTTCTAGGGAATTAGTTTGCTTGAAAGAGCAATTAAATCGCCTTGACAAGTCTTTCATCGAAGATCTTCCTTCACTTAATGATCTCACTTATCAGTCTTGTCAAGCTGAAAAAATAAAAGACATTTGGGAACTACATGAATGCACTTCCTTGATTAAAAAGTATTCACTCCTCCCACCATTTGAAAAAATTGAAGGGAAAACCATCCTTGAGATTTTGAAAGGTATCTCACCAACTGAAATTACAGAAGATAAAAATCACCTGAAGAGGTTCACTAGACACACCCTGCATCATGAAGAGTGGGGGGATCTTGTTGAAACAATAAAATTACAAGGACAATTCGTCTTCGATTTGGAAACAACATCTTTAGTTCCTTTCGATGCTAAGGTGGTGTCGGCTGTTATTGTATTGCCAAATCAACACAGTTATTACATTCCAGTTGTGACCCATAAACTAGACTTAGAAATGAAGTGGATCGAAACTTTTAAAAAAGTGCTTGGAAGCAATGAGATAAAAAAAATTGGACATAATCTTAAATTTGAATATTCTATCTTAAAAGAAAAGGGAATTGAACTTAACGGAATCGAGCATGACACAATGATTCATGCTTACATGACTGAGCCAGACCTCAATGCATTCAAGTTAGAAGACCTGATTCAAAGTCATTTTGGGGTGAGTAAGCCTAGCTACAAAGAGATGAGTAAGGGGTATGAAAGCATCCTTGATATTCCAAAGGACCTATTGGAGGATTACACTTTTCAAGATGGGGAGTACACGACTTTACTTTATGAAATTCAAGTAAAAGGAAAGGCACTTAATGATAAGGAGTTGGACATTTACAAAAACTGGGAATTGCCTCTTCTTGTGGTACTTGCCAATATGGAATTTGAAGGAGTTGTTATTGACACGAACTATTTAAAAAATTTAGAAAAAATTCTCCAAACAAGTTTGTCGATTACTGAAAAAGAAATTATCGAATTAGCTGGCGAGGATTTTAATATTAATTCGACTAAGCAACTTCAAACTATTCTTTTTGAAAAATTGTCAATTAATCCTGTTAAGAAAACAAAAACCGGCTATTCCACGGATAACTATGTTTTAGAGAGATTAAAAAAGAATTATCCGATTGCTGAATCTTTATTGCAACACCGCAAGACAGCTAAACTTCTCAATACTTATGTGGAGGCACTTCCCAAATTAGTTCATCCTCGTACAGGTCGTATTCATACTCATTATAATCAATCCGTTACGGCTACAGGTCGGCTGAGTTCCACTTCTCCTAACTTGCAAAACATTCCAGTTAGTGAGGGAAGCCAGGGCATCCGTCGTGCTTTCGTGGTTGATTCGGGTTACGAAATTGTATCCATTGACTATTCCCAAGTAGAATTAAGGATTGTGGGTTTTTTATCTAAGGATGCCAAACTTCTAGAAGCCTATGAAAGTAATCGGGACATTCACACTCAAACCGCTCACCTATTATTTGGAAAGCCGATGGAGGATGTTCTCTCGGAGGAGAGAAAAATTGCCAAGACGATTAATTTTTCAGTTATCTATGGCATATCGGCTTTCTCATTAGCAGAAGACTTGGGCATACCCCGTAACGATGCTCAAGTGTTTATTGACATATTTTTTTCAAATTACTCCAATGTGAAGAGTTATCAAGAAAAAATCCTTCACCAAGCTAGAACAAATGGTTGGGTGGAAACTTATTTCGGAAGGAAACGTTACATCAAGGACATTAATTCTGAAAACATGATTGTAAAAAACCGTGCTGAGAGAATCGCCTTCAACACGGTCATTCAAGGGACTGCTTCCGATATCATTAAACGAGCAATGGTGAATGTTCAAAAAAAATTTGTAGGTTCACCGATCAAAATGGTCATGCAGGTGCATGATGAATTGGTTTTCTATGTGCCTACAGATTTAGTTAAAAAGACCGTCCCTCAACTTGAAAAATTATTAATTGATATTACACCTTTTGACGGAATATTAACCGTCAATACTACAATAGAGAAGCATTGGGGGTAGTTCCATCATCTAGGATTTAAAGATCCTGGATGATGGATTCTGTGAAATAACTGATAATCATATTCGCCCCTGCTCGCTTAATAGAAGTTAGCGATTCTTCTACGATGGCTTTTTCATCAAACAATCCTTTTTCACAAGCAATTTTAATCATGGAATACTCACCCGAAACTTGGTAAGCAGCAATGGGACAATTAAAGCGGGTTTTAAGTCGTTGGAGAATGTCAAGGTAAGGGAGTGCTGGTTTCACCATTAGGATGTCTGCTCCTTCTTCTATATCTAATTGGACTTCATGCAAGGCTTCGTCGGAATTTGCCCCATTCATTTGATAGGTTTTGCGATCCCCAAAACTCGGGGTAGACTCTGCTGCTTCTCGAAAAGGTCCATAGAATGAAGAAGCGTATTTGACCGCATAGCTCATGATAGGTGTTTTAGTAAATCCATGATCGTCGAGCTCCTTGCGAATGGAAGCTACCATACCGTCCATCATGCCAGACGGTGCAATCATGTCAGATCCATTTTGGGCATGAATGAGTGATTGTTTAGCTATAAGAGGAAGGGTTTCATCATTACCTACATCATCATTTATTATTAGTCCGCAATGTCCATGATCGGTGTATTCACAGAAGCAAATGTCGCTTATAACCAATAAAGAAGGAAATGTATTTTTGATTGCTTGAATGGTTTTAATCAAGAAGCTGTTTGGATTGCAACCTTCACTACCCCATTCATCTTTTTTTTCGGGAATTCCGAAAAGAATAATGGAATGCACCCCTTTGCGAACCCATTCTTTCAAGGTAAGAAGTGCTTGATCAGGGCTCCATTGATATTGTCCTGGCATGCTTTGGATTGGATGCTTAATGTGAGAACCTTCTTTAATAAACATCGGCATGATGAGATCACTTGGGTGAAGGCGGTTTTCTTGTACCATGTCCCTTATCACAGGATGGTAGCGAAGTCTTCTATGCCTTTTATTGAATTTCAATGGATTCATGACTTAAAAACTTTTCTGCTAATTGAATGGCGTAAAGGTGATCTTGAATGCCAGCTGTTTCTCGAATGCTATGCATGGCTAACATTGCACTTCCAATGTCAACAGTTGGTATTCCTAATTGGCTACTCACCAGTGGTCCGATAGTTGAACCACATGGAATTTCTGCTTGCTGAACATACTCTTGATAAGGTAGCTGGTGGTTTAACATGATTTGTTTGATGATCGCTGAGCTGCTTCCATCCGTTGCGTAACGTTGATTGGCATTGTATTTGATAACAAGCCCTTGATTCAAGATAGGCCGATGGTTCTCATCATAAAGCGATTCAAAATTAGGATGAAAGCCATGTGCCATGTCTGCAGAGATCATAAAACTTTTAGCTAAGCAATCGTAAAAATATTTTTCACTTGAAGTTTGATTTTTATTTCTTGCTGATTGTGTCAATTGAAGTATTTCGATTAATGCTTGAGTTAGAAAATTGGAAAGAGCTCCTTGATAGGTTTGACTGCCAACTTCTTCGTGATTAAAAAATACAACAGCGGGTATGATTGAATCTTGGGACTTAGTTTTCTTGGCATCCAGTTTGTTTTGTTGTTCGGCAACTTTTAAAAATCCCTCTAACCCCGCATGCACCATTGCAAGGTTGTCTAGACGAGGAGAATTAATGAATTGCTTTTCTCGACCAAAAATTTTAGGTGGTTCAATATCGACCAAGAATAGGTCATGGGAAAGGATGTCTTTAGCCTTGCAACCGATGTGTTGAGAAAGGATTGAATTCAAACTTTCATTTCGATTCGAGAAAAGTGCATTGAGGTGGGTCGCTTTGTTAATAGAAAATTGTTTATTCACCTCTCGATTGAGATGAATGGCAGCATGCGGGATGACCATGAGGGGATCATTGATGAAAAGGAGTTTTTCTTCAATACCTTTTTGGTTTTTCTTATTATTTTTTTGAACATAGACTTTGCCAGCCATTCCTAAGGGACGGTCCAACCATGAGGAGAGAATGGCACCTCCATACACTTCTGTTGAGATCATTTGATAGCCCTTCTTATTGATCTCACAAATAGGTTTTACGTGCAGACTGGGTGAATCGGTGTGAGCCCCCCATATCCTAAAAGAAGGCGTGTTTTGAATTTTTATGCGAGGAAGGAGAAAAGCAATGATGCTACCGTTCTTGCTGATGAAATATCCTGCTTGATTTGGTTTTTTATTGGTGTTTTCGTCAAGGCAGACAAATCCCCCTTTTTTTAGTCGCTTTATAACTTGATCAACCGTGTGGTAGGAAGTGGGGCTATGCTCAATGAACTGCATCCAGCTTTCAATTTCAGTCATCGCTTAGTTTTTTACAAGATGTTGAAAAGAATTTTTAAAGGAGAATTGTGGAGCGGCGAATAGACCCTGTTCAAGTTGAAAATGGTTATTAGGGTAGGTGAGCTCATTCCCAAACATATCACCGATCACTCCTCCAGCTTCTTGGAGTAGGAGTTGGACGGGAAGGACATCCCAAATTTTTAAATAGCTATTGGTGTTCAAGTAGTAATGGGCTTTTTTTTCGGCAATTGAACCGATTTTAAGTCCAATGCTTCCCTTAATTTGGTAATCATGAATCGCTTGCGACTCGAACCATTCGACTTCTCGACGATACTTTTTCATACTGCTAATTAAAAAAATTCGGTTTTCTATAGGGGTAGCTTTGTCCACATGAATTCTATTTTGTTCAAACACCTTTTCATTAGGAATCGCTTTAAAATCCTTTTTGAAAAAAAGGTATGCTCCTTCCCCCTGTGCTGCAAAATAACCTTTCCCATAGGCAGGAGCATAGATGAAACTCAATAAGGGAACTTTGTTTTTCACGAGGGCTAACATAATAACGAAATCCTTCTCCTGCTTTAAAAAGTGCGATGTGCCGTCAATGGGGTCAACGATCCAAGTCGCTTCCTCTGATAGGAATTGGTGGGGGTTTTCTTCGCTAATGATGAGATGGGAGTATTCTTTTTTTAGAAAGTCATGGATTTTTTTTTCACAAAAAAGATCCGCTTCACTCACCTTGGTGCCGTCTTTCTTATTGCTAATGTGGAGGTCTTTTTTTTGAAGTTGAAGGATGTCCTCACCCAAATCGATTAAGAAAGATTGGATTTGGCTTAATTGATATTCCATAAAATGCGCGTCCGGTAGGATTTGAACCCACGACCCTCTGATCCGAAGTCAGATGCTCTAATCCGCTGAGCTACGAACGCTTTTTTAAATTATATCATTAGTTGGAATTTTTAAAAGTGTTAATGAGGTGTGTGAAAGTGATCTACTGATGAACTTCTAAACACTCCTCACCAAGCATGTCAATAATTTTTATAGCAACTTTTCCTTTAACTTCTATTTTATATTCACCTTTAATTAAATCTTTTTTCTTTTTTGGCACATCACTATAAACAATGTTAAAAACTTTTCCATTATAATTATTATCTATTAAAACACAATCAATCATACTTCTAAAATCTTTTATCTCTTCTTTTAATAAACCTTTTTCATTTGACAATCTTTTTAGAATTGTAGGACTTGCAAAATTATTTATTTTAATAGTATTGTTTTTCAATTCCACTTGAGCTTTACAAGGTTCGTGGATCATAAATTCTTTATCTTCTAAATTGATAACTTCAAATTTATTGATACTCGATTTTTTATTCCACTCTTCAATTTCTTTTTTAGTATCTTCTCTTTGTCCTAAACAAATAATTTTTATATTCCTATCTTCTTCAGGTCTTTTTTTCAATTCTTCTTTAATATCTGTTATATCAAATAAAGATAATGGATGATTTATTTCAATTATTTTAACTAAACTATTTCCTATCTTCCCTTCAAAAAAATCATCATTTAATTTTTCCACTCCAAGTTTTTCAAAAGCCAGTTCAATAGCTTCAGTTCTTAAAATTTGTAAATCATAATCATTAACTTTGAAATGAGAAAATCTATTACAAAAATTTTTCTCCTTGATTAAATCCTTTTCCTGCTCTTTAATGATTTTTTGAATTCTTTTAGCAGTGGTTTGAATAGCACCTTTATTTATATCTGCCCCAATCCATTTTCTACCTAATTTTTGAGCAACTGCTTGGGTCGTTCCACTTCCCATAAAACAATCAAAAATGATTGAATCTTCATTAGAAGATGCTTTGATAATTCTTTCTAATAATGCTTCTGGTTTTTGGGTGGGGTAGTCTAAAATTTGATTGTGTGCATATCCAATAGTTGCCACATCACTCCACCAGTCCTCTAACAATTTACCCCTATTCTCAATCAATTTCACTTTCTCTTAAAAACTGATATTGCCTGTAAATGAACTACTTCCTGATACTGATGTTGATTTTTTATATTTTTTTCTTAAATTTTCTGTATCAAAAATGTGTTCTTTAGTTTTTGAATATAGTAATATATTGTCATGTTTTCTTGGAAAATTTCTATTTTTTGTGACCACCACTATAACACCATACAATTTCATTTCCAAAATTCTCTTCTCCAAAAACTTCATCTAATAAACATCGTAAATGATGAGATTTATGCCAATCACAATGCAAGTAAATGCTTCCTTTATCACTTAACAATTCTTTTAGTAAAATTAATCTTTCATACATAAATTGTAAATAGTCATCATTTTTCCATATATCAAAATATTGTTTTTGTTCTAATTTGTTATGTCCTTCTCCCTCTAATTTTTCATTATTTTCATCCCCTCGTAATTCTACTTTTCTAATATAATCTGCTTTACTATCAAAGGGAGGGTCAATATAGATGAGGTCTATTTTTCCTCTAAATCCATTATTTAATAGATTTGTTAATACTTCAATATTATCTCCATGAAATAATAAATTACTCCAATATTTTTCTAAATCATTGAAATTTAATTTTATTTCTTTTTTATCATTGTTAAAAGTTCTACCAATTGTGCTGGATAATTTTCTTCAATATTGATTGTTTTTTTCCCAATCCAGTTAAGCATAGGTCTTCCTTTAACTTCATTTATTTTTTCACTCATTTTAAAACCTCATATTTATAAATTGTTTATCTCCATAACTATGTTTGAATTCTCATTTAATAATAAAAACAATGCTAAAACGTATCGAAATTTTGTCATTTTTTCGACATATCACCAATAATATGTCGAAATTTTGTCATTTTTTCGACATATCACCAATAATATGTCGAAATTTTGTCATTTTTTCGACATATAATTTTAATCCCTTATTTTTTTATATAATCCCCATATTTCTTCCCTTACTATAATAGCTTTTTCAATGAGTTTTTGGTTAATGTAGTAATTACTCCTCCCCTTGACTTCTTTTTCTAAGATTTTTTCTTGGGTTAAAGTCTCTAAATAACGACTAGCCGTTTGGCGGTGGACTTTTAAATCTTTTTCAATAAACTCTATTTTTGTATAAGGATATTTGAATAAAGAATTAATCAAATCTTGACTATACATTTTAGGATATTTCTTTCTAATCGTTTGTTTGTGATCCTGCATCAGTTGAACAATTTCCTTTGTTAATAAAGTCATTTCATAAGCACAAAAAACAACCCCCTCCAGCATAAAAACAATCCAATCTTCCCATTTATCGCTATTTCTTACTTCCTGTAGTAATCGATAATAATCATCTTTAAATTCAACGATGTAACGGCTTAAATATAAAACAGGGATATCTAATAATCCCTTAAGGGACAAATACAATATATTAATAATCCTTCCCGTTCTACCATTGCCATCATAGAAAGGATGAATGCTTTCAAATTGATGATGAATGATCGCCATTTTTATTAAAGGGTCTAATTCGCTAATAGAATCATCATTGATAAATTTTTCTAAATTGGTCATTAGGTCTTTTATTTCGTTATGGTCTTGAGGAGGAGTATAAACTATTTCTCCATGATTATTTCTTAGTTTTGTACCCAGTTGTTTTCTAAACCCAGCGTTATGATTTTCTAATAAAGTTTTTTGTATAGAAAGAATAAGGTTATTGTTTAATAGTTTATTTTTTTTAATGCCTGTGAATCCTTGTATAAGGGCTTTTTCATAGTTCCTTACTTCTTTGATATTGCTCGTTAAATTATTTTCAATTTTACTTTTATATAACTCGTCCATAGTTGTTACAATCCTTTCAACTTCCGAGCTAGCCTGAGCTTCTTGTAATGGCAACAAGTTTAATAGCACTGCTTCATTAGGAACGGTCTTAATGATGCCATTTAGTTCTCCTAAACGCCTATGTGCTTCTGCTGCCTTTTTTAAAACCCTTTTTGTCTCTATGTCTTGGGGGAGTGGTAGTTTTTTTAGTTTGTTAATCACCATCTCTCCTTCATTTTAAAACCTCATCTTGAATAAATTGTTTATCTTCCATAACTATGTTTGAATTCTCACTCAATAACAATTTATACTTAAATTTATTAGTCAAGTATGCTTTAAAATACTTTTCTTTTATTTTAAAATCTTCTTCTAAATGTTTTCCCTTTGTCTCTAAAAATATAAATTCTCCATTTTTTTTAATAATTAAAAAATCTGGGGTGTAATTTCTTAAAACTCCCTTTTTATCTCTATATTCAAAAACTAAATCAGTTTTACTTTTATCAGTAATTCCACCAACAAATAAAAAATCTTTTATATTTTCTCTTTTCTCTTGAATTTGATTTAATACAAATTCAAACAAATCTACTTCTAAATTTGAATCGAATTTATAAGGGGTATAATGAAAACTTAAATCATTTAAATTCGGATAGCTTGCTTTATCTTTTAATAAAGCATCTAATTTTTCTTTATTAACTAAAATTGTAGTGGTATAAATTTTAACTCCATCATCATTTGTTTCTTCTTTAAACCCTTCTTTTTTAATAATGGTTAAAAGTTCTTCAATTTCTTTTTCTTCTGTTTTGTAATTATCTATTTGCTTTTCAATTTGTTTTTTAATATCTTCAAATGCTAAAATTGAAATTTCATTTTGAAATAATTCTTTCAATTTATCAAATATTTCAAAATAATCTAATGAATAAAGATTAACTAATTTTTGTGTTGCTTGATAAATATCTAAAATTCTTTGTTTTCATTTTTAATATCTAAAATTTCTTTTTCTGTTAATTCTCCCTTTTTAATTTTTGAAAAATCATATTTAATTAATTTAGATTTATTCTCTTCTATTATTTGCGGCTTTTCAATACTTATATTTTTAATAACACTTTCTTTCTTCAAATATTTTTTAATTTTTCTTTTTACTTTTAGCTGAGGTAATTTATCATCATATTTAATTAAAGTTATTTTTTTTTCTACAAATTTATTTTTACTATTTTTTATAATTTGTAAATCTTCTCCATAAGTATCTTTTAATTGATTTTCTAAAATAGCAGTATTTTTTTGTGATAAATAAATTCTTGCTGGCTTAGTGTTATTAACAATTTGTCTTAAACATCTAGTAGATGCTTGTAAAACAAAATTATTAGAATTTCCTAAGTCTCTTGCCAAACAACAAGAAAATAAAGAAGGACAGTTCCAACCTTCTTTCCCCATTCCAACTAATAGAAATATTCTATAAGGTAGGTTTTTATCATTTATTCTATTAATAAAAATATCTTTGTCTTTATCACTTGATTTTGAATTTACTTCAAAAATGCAATTACTATCTAAACCATATTCTAAAACTTTTTTTTCAATAAAAGGTTTTATTTTTTTGACATCTTCTATTGTTGGAAAATAGATGGCTATTTTTGATTTTTGATCTCCGTCAATTTTAATGTCTTTATATTCGTTAAAAAAATCATCTAAAACCATTGATATGAAATTTTCATCTCTAACTTCACTATAAGAATAAATATTCCCTCTAATATCTTTTAAAATATTTTCTTCTATTCCTTCAATTAATCCATACCAAAAAACAACATCTTTTAAGATTTGTTTTTTGAAATAAGGTGTTCCTGTGGTATTAATAACAACTTTTAAGTCTGTTTTATTTGAGAGATAATCAATCGTTTGTCTAACTTTTTTAAGCTCTTTGTCTAATTGTATTCCATAGGTATTGTGTGCTTCATCAGAAAAAATCCCTAAATTAGAAAGAGTGGATAGTGTTAGCAGCCTTAGATTATAAACATTTTCATTTTCATTTTCTTGTATTTGTTTTTTTGTGCTTAATAAATTTTGTGTTATTTTTTTAGAGAGTATTCTTATTTTTTCAATATTGGTTATTATAATGTTATATTCACTCTTTTTGATAATGGGTATATCTTTTTGATTATCTTGGGTATAGGTTATTTTAAGGTTATTTTTTAATATTGTAGAAAATCTTTTTGGAAGTATTAAATCAATATCAATATAAGAAATTTCTTTTAATGAGCCAATAATTGTTTTTCCAGGAGCAAATACAAGTGCATTTTTTAAAAATTTGTCACCTTTTGTTCTTAAAGATAGGGCAAATTCAATATAAATAATAGTTCCAATTAATATAGTTTTTCCAGCACCCATAACAAGAGAAAAAATATAACTTGGATAATCTAATAATAAACTTTCTTTTAAATTTTCTAATTTGTATTTTTTTACAAATTCATTATCATTTTTAATTTTATCGAATAAATTATCAATTCCTCCATTTGATAAAATCTCAATTAAATCATTTTGTTCTAATTCTATGCCTAATGATTTAAATAAATTATTAGACTCAAAATATTCTTTGTATAAATCTATAATTTTTTTATTATCTTTTTTAAATCTTAAAAATAAATATGTTTCAAGAGCTTCAAATTGTGGTTTTCTTAAAAATTTTAATTTTTTTTTCCCCTCATCTAAAAATTGAAAATCTAAAATTTCTTTAATCTCTTCAAATTCACATCGATACTTTTGCTCCCTCCATTTTTTTACACCTTCTTTTATTGTTTTGTATAAACTCATTTGATTCGACATTTTTCTTCTTCTGTATATTCTTTGATATTATACAATATGATATTTATACTACTGTACTTTGCTACACTTCGTCCTAATTACAAATTAGGGAAACTATTTCAAAAGTTTTGCGATTTTCGCTTCCATCTCAGTTTCCGTGATAGCAAGATGTGAAGCATGCCAGATGGCTTTTGAGTTTTCGATAAGAAATATTTGCGGAGATTGGTGTGTGATGGAAAAAAAATCAGCGATATGGTTGGACAGTGGGCGCCCTTCAACGACTAAGACGATGTAAATGAGGGTGTCGGGATTCCTGCCCTTGTATTTTTCTACATTACGATGAGCTTGAGCTGAGAGCGGGCAGATAGTAGAGTGTTTAAAAAGAAAAAAAGGTTTTTTTTGACTTTCTATTAAATGATTGAAATCTTCAATGGTTTCTAATAGCTTCATAGATGTTTAATTGATGGAGATTGATAATCTTAATGCTATTATCGTTTTAATCATTTAGGACATTAGAGATTTTTCTTCTTTTAATCTCATTGAGTGGATCAGATCGGGAAATAGGATTTGTTCAATTCTTTTTTTTACAAGATCCAAATTAATATTTTCTTTGGCTGAAATCATGATGCCAGAATAAGTGTCCACCCATTTTTTGACCTCTGCAATTTTTTCTTCACCTAAGAGATCCACTTTATTGAATAAATATAACATAGGAATGGATTGAGCATTAATATCATGAATGATCTCTTCAACAAACTTAATTTTACTGATGAATTCCTCGTCGCTGGTATCAATCACTTGGATGAGGAGGTCAGACTCAATGGTTTCAAGAAGGGTGGATTTGAAGGCATTGATCAATGTGGGGGGTAGGTTGCGGATGAATCCAATCGTATCAGAAATCAAGACGGTTTGTTGCGTCTTGGAAAGGTAAAGACGCGTGGTGGTAGTGTCTAAAGTCGCAAACAACTCATCTTTTATCAAAACATTGCGTTTGCTCAAGGTTGTGAAAAGATGGGATTTTCCAGCATTGGTATACCCCACAATGGAGATGCACTTGAAACCATTTTTTTTGCGTCTTTTTAAATTGTTGTTTCTCAAGCCCTCCAATTTTTTTAACCGATCCTTAATAATTTTCTTCTGCTTAGATAAGTGACGCTTCATTATTTCTGTATTGGTCTCACCAGTTCCCCGTGTTCCAATTCCAGCACCTTGTTGACTCAATTCGGTGCCCATCCCGTAAATGCGTGGTCCGAAATGTTCAATGCGAGCCAATTCTAATTGCAATTTGGCTTCGGCTGTTTTAGCATGCTTGGAAAAAATCATCAAGATCAAGTCAACGCGATCCCAAACCTCAATTTTCTTTTTCTTTTTTTCAATGATTTCTTCAATGGCATAAATCTGCCTTAGTAGAAGGGTATCGTTAATAATTAATAGATCCGCTTTGATCTCATCTCCCAATTCTAAAAGTTCTTCTAACTTGCTAAGACCAATGTAAGAGTTGCGGGAAGCATGGAATCGTCTCTGAATAATTTTGTAATGAGTTATACCTCCATAGGTTTTAAGAAGGCTTTCCGTTTCCTCCATTCGGCTTACCACCTCACCCCTAATCTCATGGGGCAGGATAATGTCGAATACAATTGCATTCCGCAGTTTAGGAGTATTGGCTATTAAATTCATGGATGCAGGTACTTCTTAATAAACCCAAGAGAAAAAAATGGCATCAAATAACTGATAAGAGGGTAAAAATCCATATAAAAGAGTGGATGACTATAGCGATGAATACCGCTCCACAACCCAAGTCCTTTACTTTGCCTGCTAAATCGTTTGGATTGGGAAAGAGGTAATCAGCAAGGTTTTCTAATGCCGTATTGATTAATTCAATCATCATGATGACCAGGTAGGACAGGAGAAGAAGTAATTTATTCCACCTACCAATTTCGGAGGGGAGTAAAATTAATAAAATACATAAAACCAGAAGCCCCACTGTCTCTAGACGAAAAGACATCTCTTCTTTAAAGGCGATTTTCAATCCCTTTATAGAATAGATAAGAGATTGAAAAAGTTTTTTAAAAACCTTCAATGTGTTCGCTTATTGCTTTTTCTTCTTATGGTTCATGAAACGGTAGGCAAAGTCAACAAGTAGACGAACGCCAAAACCGCTACCCCCTTTACTCGAATGCCCTTGAGATTGGGTGGATTCCATCACGGGAGCAATGTCAAGGTGTGCCCATTTCCCGCGATATTCTTCGGGGATGAATTGCTCCAAGAATTTAGCTGCGGTACTTGCTCCACCGTAGGGGCTTCCGATATTTTTCAAGTCGGCGACATCGGATTGCAACTCCTTGAGATAAATGTCATCAATGGGGAGTCGCCATAGAGCTTCGTCAACCTGGCGAGAGGAAACAAGCAAATTCTCGGCCAAGTCATCGCTCGGCGTGAAAAGACCACCATAGTGTTGCCCCAAGGCAACGATGCAAGCACCCGTTAAGGTAGCGAGGTCAACAGTGCAGTCAGGATTATATTTTTTAACACCATAATTTAAGGCATCACAGAGAATGAGACGTCCTTCCGCATCAGTATTTAATACCTCCACACTTTTTCCAGAATAAGTTTGGATAATATCGTTCACCTTCATCGCTCCGCTTCCTGTCATGTTGTCAGTAATGGGGATGATTGCCACTACACGCGACGAGTAGCCGGTCTTAACCAATGCTTCAAAAGCAGAGATGACAGTAGCCGCTCCAGCCATATCCATCTTCATACCAATCATGGCATTGGGTGACTTGAGTGAAAGCCCTCCGCTGTCGAACATCACTCCTTTGCCGACCATCATAAAGGTAGAGGTGTTTAGATTGTTAGGTCGGAAATTGTCTAGGATAATCATCTTCGCTTCGTGTTTGGATCCCGCATTAACCGAAAGGATGGCATTCATTTTCATTTTTTTAAGTTCTGCTTTGCCGAAAATCCGACAATTAACTTTCAAAGAATGAGCCATTTCCCGTACTTGTTTGGATAGGCTTTCTGTATGAAGAACATTGGGAGGTTCATTCACCAGATCGCGAGCACGGAATACACTTTCTTTAACAGCTTGGGCTTGCTTGAGTAGGTGGTTGATATCGCATTGTTTTTTCAATAGAGTGGGAATGGTGATGATCACTTCAAATTTATTCGATGGAGGGTTTTTTTTAGAAGAATTTTTATCGCTTTTATATTTTGAAAACTGATAACATCCCAAGTGCAATCCTTCTACAAATGCCGTTAAATATCGTATGGTTTCTTCATTGCTGAAATGGTTAAAAGAGGAAAGATCAACAACTTGGGGAAGATCGCTTTTTTTTGCAAATGCTTGTTTTGAAATCATGCCTCCAATAGAACGAAAATCATTCGTAATGCTTTTAATGGGACAGCTGTGATAGCTTTGTTTTTTCCGTAAGCGAGGAGATTTCCCCAATGAAAAAAAAGTCATTTGTTCAAAATTAAATTCTTTTTCTCGATAGAGGACGAGTTGTGAAGTTGCATCAGTTTTTAAATGTTTGTCCTCTACTGACTGTTTTAGCAGTTTTTGAAAATGAACAGAAGAAAGAAGAAGGGTTTTCAAAGGATTATTTTTTATATTCTTGTTTGAAGGGGTTTCTTTTAAGTCATTCTTGTCATTAAAGAACAGAATGATTTGATTAATCTTTTTTTTCTTTTCTAATGTGGTTTGGATGTTAATTTTGAGATTTGTTTTCATAGTTTTTTTTCTTTTGGAATAAAATTGAAATGATAAGTGCAAAAAAGCCACAGGTGATGAACACATCAGCTAAATTGAAAATGGGCCAAGGGTTTAAAAGTTTTATATCGGAATCAGGTATGTACCACTTCACATAATCGATGACATAGCCATGAGTGAAACGGTTAATGACATTGCCTAACCCTCCAGCGCAAACAAGTAGGAAAGGGATGAAGTTTTCCATTTTTTGGAAGAAGAAAACGAGCAAGATGACTGTTAAGCCAAGTAGTTGAAGCAGTTTGAAGAACCAACTAAGGGTTTCAGGTGAAAATCTTTTTTCAAGAAAAGATAGAAGAGAAAAACCAATGTTATAGTTACGGACATAAAGGAATGACCAAAAATTATCAATGACTTTGATTTCTTGAATTATATATTTTTTGTTTTCTGGGTCATTGCCGAATACCACCAAAGATTCATTCTCTTCCAAGTTGATTGAGATAGATGGATTGGCTTCTCTCACCCAGTTGTCCTCCACCCAATCTTTTACAATGAGGTCAATTCCTGTCAGTATGGCAATGCCTATTAAGAAAAAAGAGGTTTTTTTTTTCAAATGTAATTCGACTATCGATGACCTTTTTGGTAATTCGTCACTAATCGTTGATAGTCTTCTTCACTAAAAGAAAGTTTGGGATTAGAGAAATTTATGTCGGATACTTTATCGATCGGGACGAGATGAATGTGCGTGTGTGGAACTTCCAATCCAACCACGGCAACCCCGATGCGTTGGCAAGATACGATTTCTCTTAGACGTTGTGAAACCTGTTTGGCAAACTTTTGTAGTTCTAAATAATCTGTTTCTTCAAGGTCAAATAAGTAGTCGATTTCTTTTTTGGGTACTACCAGGGTGTGCCCCCATTTAATGGGTTGGATGTCAAGGAAAGCAATGCAATGTTGATTCTCTTCAAGAATGTATCCTGGCAACTCTCGGTTAATGATTTTAGTAAAAATAGTCATTTTGTGCTTCTTTTAATGATAATTAATTTATTGTCAATCTATCGTCTCTTTAGCTGTGTGAACAAAAAACTCAAAATAGCTTTTTGAACATGGAGGCGATTCTCAGCTTGGTCAAAAACTTTGGAATGCTTCCCATCAATGATTGACTCACTCACTTCTAATCCTCGATAGGCTGGGAGACAATGCAAGAAAATATAATCTTTTGTTGCGTCTTTTAGTAAGCGATCGTTCACTTGAAAGCCTTTGAAAGCTTTGAGTTTGTTTGCTTTAGATTCCTTGTCTCCCATAGAGAACCATGTGTCGGTATAAATTACATTGCACCCCTTAACTGCCGATTGGGGGTGATGGTTAAACTCAATCCAACGGTCGTTCACCAAGCAATCTTTCAACACCGATTTTGGACAAGCATGGGATGGAGGGGTTGTGACTCGCAGAGGCCATTTTAATAAACTGCAGAGTTCAATCAAGGAGGTAGCAACATTGTTTCCATCACCGACATAGGCGATCTTGGGTTTAGCAACATGTTCATTGATGGTGAAGGCATCCGCTAACACTTGACAGGGGTGGTGTCGGTTGCTCAGCCCATTAATGATTGGAATCGTGGATGTCTTGGACAAATTTTCTAACACGTCATGATCATTGTTACGGATAATCAGGCAGTGAAAATAACGCTCCAATACGCGAAAGGTATCGGAAAAGCTTTCCCCTCTTTTAACCTGCGTATTTTCTCTTGTTAAAAAGATATTTTCTCCTCCGAGTTCCTTGATCCCCACTTCAAAAGAAATGCGTGTACGAGTAGACGACTTTTGAAAAAACAAACCAATGATTTTGCCAGTGAGAGTCTTTTTCCTTATCGTCTCCCTTCTTTTTTTGAACAACAGAGTTTCTTTGAGGATCTGATTAATCTCAGAGTAAGAAAAATCGGAAGGTTTTAAAAAATGCCTTTGTTTCATTTTAAAATTAAAGAATTAATTATAGAATAAACTATATTAAAAATCAAGAATATGAAAAAGAAAGACACTAAACAGATTAAACCTCTTTTACTAATCACTGGTGGAACCAGGGGTATTGGAGCCGCTCTTGCTTGTTTGTCTGTAAAAGATTATCGGCTCGCCCTTGTTTATCATCGAAACCACGAGGCTGCTCATGCCCTACAAGATCGGATCTTTGCTAATCATAAGAAAGTGAGAAAAGAAGAAGTCCAGGTTTATGCAAGTGATCTCTCTAAGCCGTTGCAAGTTAAGAAAGTTTTTGCACAGGTTCGAAAAGAAATGGGTCCCGTCTCTTACTTGGTAAACAATGTTGCTAAGATTGGAGAAATTGCTAATTTTGATAAAATAAGCCTGCGGCGCTTTCAAAAAACCTTCTCAACAAATTGCTATAGTGTTATTTCGTGCATTAAGGAAGCCCTTCACCAAATGAGGGAACATCCACGCAAACAGGACAAGTGCATTATCAATATTTCGTCAGGAGCGGTTAGAACTGGTGCACCCCATGAGTACATCGACTATTCCATGAGTAAGGGAGCTTTGGAATCCCTCACTTTTGGATTAGCAAGGGAATTGGTTGTAGATAACATACGCGTCAATGGAGTTCGACCCGGAGTTATAGACACCGACATTCACCCTAATAAAGAAACTCGAATTCAAACAAAAGTCCCTATCATTCCTATGGGACGCATCGGCAAGGCAGAAGAGGTGGCAGAGGGCATTTTGTGGTTGCTTTCTCGAAAAGCATCCTATGTAACAGCAACTTTTCTCGACATAGCTGGGGGCAAATAAAAATTTAAACATTTAATTAACTGGATAAAATTTAATAACACAAGTTATTTTTTAACTTGTATAGTATAATTAAATAATCATTCGGGAAATGGGAAAGATTGTCGATAATTAATGAGTTGAAAATTCCATAATGAAGAATCAATCTTTTTGCGACATCGTTATTATTGGGGGTGGCATTGGTGGACTTTATTTGGCTCATCGATTGGAAGAAGAAAAGCAAGACTGGATGCTTTTTGAAGGATCAGACCGTCTAGGTGGGAAGATTGAAAGTGTTGAATACCCTTATCAAGAAAGCGAAGGATCACTTAAGTTGGAGTGGGGTGCGATCCGTTTCGAGTGGGGATGCCAACCTAAATTTGAGTCCCTAATTAAAAAAAACAAAATTAATCTTAAAGGATTCCCTGCCTTTTGTTCCGATAAGGGATGGGAGCTTGGTTTTATTAAGGAAATGTGTAGTCATCTTTGGCGACTTTATCTTGATTATCGTAATTTACCATTTGCTTCTTTGAGTGACGATGAACTGTGGAATCTCTTAAGAGAGAATCAGTCTTCCTTTCTCAGTGAAGAGAGAAACCAACCTTGGTCAGACTTGGATGTTCACAAGTGGCTTCCTTTAAAGTTTGGAGAAACAGGAAAAGAAAGTGGGGTTCAACCTTATCAATACCACTTTGGAAATTGGCTTCAGGTCTACCACTCCGATTGGTATCATAAGATGAAGAAGGCGGAAAAATCCATTAAGGCTTTCATTGTTTTAGAGTTTACCGTCATGGCATGGCTTATGAGATGGACGAAGGTTTTGCTGGCTAATCACATGATTAAAACTTGTATAAATGGGAATGATGACATTACGGGTCAACTGGGAGAAGATCTTCCGATTGATCGCATTTCCCTTCGCACTTCTTTAAATGGGTGGGTCTTTGACAAGGAAAATGGCACTTATGAGTTGCATTTTAACGAAGGGGCGCCAGTCATTTGTCGAAAACTGGTTCTTGCCATTCCACCACGGTCGATTCAAAAAATCATAGGTATTCCTCAAGAATTGAAGACTTTGTTTAGGAAAATGAAAGGTTTTTCACTGGGGAGACTTTTTGTGGAGATTGCTGATCCGTGGTGGGGTGAGAATGATTTTTTTACTACCCAGCACAATTTGGCTGAAGAACTCCAAACAAGAGAGGTGTATTATTATGGAATGCCTGCGGAAGAAAAGCGAGGTGTGATCATGATGTACTTTGAAGATTCTTTTATTAGATATTGGAGTAAAGTTATTCAGGAAAAACAACTTGTTCCTCATCTTGCGCAATGCCTTCAAATTCCCGAAAAACAAATTTTGAGCACTCAATATCGTTTTTGGGATGGTGTTCACAGCCCGTATGCATTTAATTACCTTCTTCCTGGAGTTTGCCCTCGTAAAGTAATTGAAGAGGTGTCACAACTTAATGCTGGGACGCTTTCAGTGGTGGGGGATACCTACTCTTTCGACTCTGGATTTATTGAAGGTGTGCTTTCTTCTTGTGATCAAGCTCTCCAAAACTGTCTTTTGAAAGAAGAAATAAAAGGACAAGAAAAGTCTAAAGTTTTTTCTAAAATATAATATCAAATATCAATTAACCGATCCTAAATGGTCGTTAAGATTTGAGTTTCTTTTTTTTAGATAACTTTCAATACTCACCAAGGCAATAGCCACCCAGATAAAAGAAAAGACGATAAAATCCATGAAGCCAAAGCTTTCAGCGTAAACAAAGATAGCGATCAAGAAATGTAAAGTAGGGGTGATGTATTGGATGAACCCCATGATAGACAAATCAATGTGCTTAGCGGATCGGCTAAAGAGAATAAGAGGTAGAGATGTAATGGGCCCTAATGCGATAAACAGAAGGTTGGTTTGTTCCCAGTCTAAGAAAAAATTTGATTGTCCCGTATTGAATAAGTAGAGTACATACCCTAGGGCAGGGAAAAACATGAAAAAAGTTTCGATAAAGAATGTTGTAATGGAGTTAGCTTTAACCGTTTTTTTAATTAATCCGTAAAAGCTAAAGGTGAGGGCAACCCCTAATGAAATCAAGGAAAATTGTTGTGCCAAGAAAGCCTTAAATATAAAAGCAAGACAGGCAAGGGTAATGGCTATTTTTAGACGGGGTCGCTCTTTGAAGACTAGAATACCTAAGGAGATGGTGATCAACGGTGAAGCGAAATAACCCAAGCTAACTTCTAAAATTTGTCCTCGATTCACAGCGTAAACAAATACAAGCCAGTTAGAAGTGATCAGTGAGGCTGCAATGAATAATTTCCAAAGATAGTTTTTGTTCATCAAAACTCTTTTAACCTCTTTGGTTTTCTTAAAAAGAAAAATCAATACCCCTACAAATAGAAAGGACCAAATTCCTCTGTGGGCAGTAACTTCCAAATGTGAGGCAAAGTCAAGGGATTTAAAATAGATAGGAAAAAGTCCCCAAAATAAAAAACCTAGAACGGCAACAAAAATGTGATGGTTTAGATAACTGGAATGGTTGGGAATATCAGTTGAAAGTTTCAAGAGATTTTGTGTGGCTTATAATTCTATCATTCACCTATCATTCACGTCGATGAGAACTAGAAATTCCAAGAGATAATTCATTGTAGAATTAAATGTCTTTTGGGTATTAAATATTGAAATGAAAATCAAACAAGTTTTTGAAAACAATCGACAATGGTTAAACAAAAAACTTGAACTTGATTCCAATTACTTTAAAAAACTTTCTCAAGGTCAAAGCCCCAAACTTCTTTATATTGGTTGTGCGGACAGTCGGGTATCTTGTGAGGAAATCATGGGACTTTCTCCAGGTGAGGTTTTTGTTCATCGCAACATTGCTAACCTTGTTCCCAGCAATGATTTAAGCTCCATGTCGGTGATTCAATACGCCGTAGAGCATTTAAAGGTAAAACATCTCATCGTGTGTGGGCATTATGAATGTGGTGGGGTTAAGGCAGCACTGGAACCACAACATTTTGGGTTGCTCAATCCATGGTTAAGAAATATTCGGGATGTTTATCGTACTCACCAAGAAGAACTTGACTTGATCCAAAATCAAAATGAACGACATTGTCGTTTAGTGGAACTTAATGTTCGAGAACAGTGTATCAATGTGCTTAAGGAAACAGTGGTGCAAGAAGCCATTCGCCAACGAACTTTAAATATTCATGGTTGGGTTTTTGATGTTCATACAGGTAAGCTCATTGATTTAAAAATTGACTTCAAAGCCCTTTTAAAAAACATCACCAACATTTATCGGTTGGATGGTTAGGATTAAATCCGATAATACTTTTTTCCTGGCAATTCTCCAATTTCCCCAGCTAACATGCCTTCCATTACCAATTTAATCAGGTCTGGAATTTGTATCTTTAGGTTTTCTGAAAGGTCGTTAATTGTTTGAGGGTTCTGCGAGATTTCATCCATCAGTCGTTTTTCAACAGAGATTGAATCCAAATCTTTGTTGCGTGAAAGATCAGATGCCGATTCATTTTTTTTATTGCTTGGTTTGTAATGATTATTCGCATCTTTTTTTAAAAAACCAAATTGATGATCTAAAATATCATCAAGCTTCTTCACTGGAATGCCACCCTCTTGGAAAATACGATAATTCCCAAGGTTGATTTCAGGAATGTTTTCAAAGGTTTCATTTGAAATATTGTAGTCATAGACATAAATCGTCTTGCCTTGTTCAAGACCGCAGTTAACGGTAATAAGTGCTCCACTTTTAAGGGGAGCTTGCATCAGAAGAACACCTTCGCTTAATGCGGAAATGATACGGTTGCGACGGGGAAAATGCATGTAATGTGGTGGGGTACTTGGAGTGAATTCTGAAATAATGCAACCTCCACGATCAAGGATTTTTTTATAAAGAGGTTGATTCCCAAGTGGGTAGTAAACATCCACCCCGCATCCCAGTACAGCTGTAGTAGAGCTATCTCTACCTTCAATGGCTCCTCGATGGGCACAAGTATCCACTCCGATTGCTAAACCCGAAATCACATGTCCCCCTACAGAGGTGAATTGTTTGGTGATTTGATGTGTGGTTTGGTTGATAAAAGAGTCACTTCTCCTTGTACCGATAACAGATAGGCAACAGGAAGTCGGTTGGTCTAAATAATAGGTAGGAAGATCACCTTTATAGTAGAGCACTAGAGGCGGTTGGTAAATTTCTTTTAAAATCTTAGGGTAGTGCCTGTCTGCGATGGTAACCCATTGAATACCCAATTTCTTGCATTCATTCTGTACCGTTTCACTTTTTTTTAAAAGTTTATCTCTGCCTTCATATTTTCGATCCTTCCTAATCAGGCCGATTTTATTAAATTTGGAAGGAGGTAAATTCAAAACAGTTTCATATTTATCAAAACATTTTTGATAAATATCGATGTGCCTTAAACTCAATGCTTCTGACATACTGATTGCAAAAGCGCTTTGTGATTCACTGTATTTCATAATCATACCTACAAAAGTATTGTATTGATTAATGAATTTTAAAGTACTATTTGAAATTTTGTAGGGTTAACTGAAATTATCCGAGGAATTAAACTGAAAGAATTCCTTCATTAATTCCTTCCTTAATTAATTGATTGAGAATCTCCCCAATTAAGCGAAACGAACCACTATAAACAAATAGCTCATCAGGTGAATTTTGCCATGGAATTTCACTTAAACTAGTGACGGTTTCCACCTTTTCACCTCTTGTTTCGTCGATAATATTTTTTACCCATTCGACTTTCCTTAATGGAACATAGTGTAATCGGCAGTCAAAAAATACTAAATTCCATTCATTCGGAATGATCTTTATTAAATGAGCGATGTCCTTATCGTAAAGGGCATAAAAGTAGAAATGAATTTTTGAATACTTTTGCAATTCGGGATCATTTACAATACAATCAATCAAGTGTTTAAAAGACTGTGGGGTATGAGCTCCATCAAAAAGTAAGTTTCGTATTTTTTGATAACGCCCAATAATGGGGAGTTTCTTCAATACTTCTTCAAGGTGTTTTTTTTGAAAAGAATAGCCTTCACCTTCTAAGGTGTGCATAACCAAACTTAAATTCATTTGAGTGGAGGAAGGGATAAAGGATGGTGGATCAAGAAGCAACGGGTGAATCTCAATCGAGTGGCAGGGGGAGCCTTGTTGATGGGCGGTGTTTTCAATCAGATGGTTTACCTCAATGTTTTGTCGAATATAATAGATAGGAACTCCGGGCTTGATAATACCAGCCTTTTCGTGTGCTATTTCGGGTAAGGTTCCCCCTAACTTGTCTGTATGGTCGTAGTCGATCAATGTGATCATGCTTGCCAAGGTTTGGGAAGGGTTTAGACAATTAGTCGAATCCCAACGCCCACCTAATCCAGTTTCAAGAACAGCAATTTCTATACCGTTATTTTTAAATAAGCACATTGCGATAGCGGTAAACAAGTCAAAGAGGGTAGGGTTGAAGTCATCGACATTTTTTTTCAGTGTTGCTGCTACATCCAAAACTTCTTCCATAACGGGAAGTAATTCCTCCCAAGATACTCTAGATCCTCTGATTGAGAAACGATCTCTTTCATCGAGAATTTGCGGAGAAGTAGTGTGACCCGTTTGATGTCCGAGTACTTCTAAAAAGTAGGCGAGCATAGTGGTAGTTGTGCCTTTACCTTTTGTACCAGCAATGTGAAAAGACTTGAAGTGATTTTGGGGATTGCCAAGAGCGGTTAATAATTGCTTGATTTGATCTAAATTATAAAAAGTTTTTGTGTAGGGGGTTGACCTTCTTTTTTCAAAATTGCTATAGCTGTAGAGCCTTTTAAAAAGAGAGGTGAACGAGTCCAATAATTATTTAGAAAAAGAGTAGAGAATAACATTTAGTCCGAATTGAAGAGCTTGCTTGCGAACAGATTCGGGGTTTTTATGTACTTGATAGGGTGCCCACCCGTCTCCGATGTCTGTGTTCTTAGTGTAAAGAATGACTAATTTGCCATTATGATAAAACCCTAAGACCTCAGGTGCTCCTCCATCATGTTTGTGGATTTTAGGGACTCCTTTGGGGAATGAGTAATAAATATTGAAGATGGGATGATTGAGTGGAACTTTTTCCCATTCCTTGTAAGGAAGAACCTTTTTGATTTCATTTTTCACCGAGCTATCTAACCCGTAATCATCGTTAATAAAAAGGAAGCCTCCCTGCTCAAGAAATTTTTGTAACTTAGTCACTTCCGATTGGCTGAAAACGAAATTCCCGTGACCCGTCATGTAAAGGAAGCTATGATCGAAAACGTTATATCCATCCAGTTCAACTTCCACTGGGTAAGGATAAGCATTAATTATATTATGCTGATTAACAAATCGCATGAATTCAATAGCTCCGACTTTTCCCTCATACCAGTCCCCTCCTCCTCGGTACTTCACGACTGCAAAGATAAAATCATAGGTTTCCAAAGAAGGTGGGATGCGATCATTTACGAAAGACTTCTGTGAGGTTCGGTTGTTTTGGGCGAGGAGAAACATTGTTGTGAAATAGAACAATAAAAAGAGCAATCTACTCGTTTTTAAGCCGATGAAAATCAGGGATACAGAAGGCATTAAAGATGATTTTATCATAAAATAAATGGTGAGTTTAAAACTGGTGTTTTGATTTGACAACCTATTTAAGAATATGAAATTATTTTTCGATTCTAATAATAGAAGGATAAAAAATAAGCTTGTATAAATTTTATTGATTTTATACCATTACATTGTAAGGAAAATGTGTTGAAATTATTAATAAATAAAAAAAAATGCTATAAAGAATGTTATAATATTTTGGAATATACACATTAATTAATGTAAAAATATGTGAATTTAAAAATTTATTTTAAATCTTATTTAAGATAGTAAAAAATGAATAAAACCAGTAAAATTAACACAACAAACAAAGCTTTAAAAGCTAATCAAATTACTTTCCATTCATTAATAATTAAGTTCAGACTCTCACAATTAATATTACTATTATTGTCTTTTCTTCTTCTTACATCTTGTTTTTTTGATAAAATTAACCCCACTTACACAACAACTTTTGACAGTCAAGGTGGAAGCACGGTTCCAGATCAGCAAGTCAATTATGGCGAGAAAGTAACTCAACCTTCTAATCCTACACGAGTAAATTATAACTTTGGTGGATGGTATGAAGATGAATCATTGACCACTATTTTTAATTTTGCAAATACAGTAATCACTAGTGATCGAACTTTGTATGCCAAATGGAACGCAGGTCAAAACGCAGTTCAATATGCCGTAACATTTGATAGTCAGGGTGGAAGCACGGTTACAGCGCAACAAGTCAATTCTGGCGAGAAAGTAATTCAACCTTCTAATCCTACACGAACACATTACAACTTTGGTGGATGGTATCAAGATGAATCATTGACCACTGTTTTTGATTTTGAAAATACAGTAATCACTAGTGATCGAACTTTGTATGCCAAATGGAACATAATAGAATACACCTTCACCTATGGTGCCGTTTTTAAAGATGGAGTAAATGGTGTGGACGGATTGAATCATGCAGAATCTGTTGCCGTTAGTCCAGATGGGAACAATGTCTATGTGACAGGTTTTAAAGATGATGCCGTGGCAGTGTTTAACAGAAATACAACAACTGGTGTACTCACTTATAGCACCATTTTAAAAGACGGAGTAAATGGTGTGGACGGATTGGATGGTGTATATTCTATCACCGTTAGTCCAGATGGAAAGAATGTTTATGTGACAGGTTATTACGATAATACTTTGGTAGTGTTTAACAGAAATAGGACAACTGGGGCACTCACCTATAGCACCTTTTTTGAAGACGGACGATTTGGTGTGGACGGATTAAATGAAGCAGCTTCTGTCATCGTTAGTCCAGATGGGAACAATGTCTATGTGGCAGGTTATCAAGATGATGCCGTGGCAGTGTTTAACAGAAATACAGCAACTGGGGCACTCGACTATAGCACCATTTTTAAAGACGGAGTAGATGGTGTGGACGGATTGGATGGAGCTCAATCTGTCACCGTTAGTCCAGATGGGGAAAATGTGTATGTGGCAGGTTATCAAGATGATGCCGTAGCAGTGTTTAACAGAAATACGACAACTGGTGTACTTACCTATAGCACCGTTTTTAAAGACGGAGTAAATGGTGTGGACGGATTGGATGGAACTCAATCTGTCACCGTTAGCTCTGATGGGAACAACGTGTATGTGGCAGGTTATGAAGATGATGCCGTAGCAGTGTTTAACAGAAATACAACAACTGGTGGACTCACCTATAGCACTGTTTTAAAAGACGGGCAAGGTGGTGTGGACGGATTATTTGGTTCAACTTCTGTCATTGTTAGTCCTGGTGGAAACGATGTCTATGTGGCAGGTTATAATGATTCTGCCGTGGTAGTGTTTAACAGAAATACGACAACTGGAGCACTCACTTATAGCACCGTTTTTAAAGACGGAGTAAATGGTATGGACGGATTGGCTGGTGCTCGATCTGTTGCCGTTAGCCCTGATGGAAAAAATATCTATGTTGCAAGTGAGAATGATAATGCCTTGGCAGTGTTGAACGGTAGCGAGTGAAACTAGTGGATAAAATTATCTTTGGTCAAAGAAATTATATAAAAATATACGCATTAATTAATGTAAAAATATGTGAATTTAAAAATTTATTTTAAATCTTATTTAAGAGAGTAAAAAATGAATAAAACCAGTAAAATTAACACAACAAACAAAGCTTTAAAAGCTAATCAAATTACTTTCTATTCACCCTCACAATTAATATTACTATTATTGTCTTTTATCCTTCTTACATCTTGTTTTAAAAGAATTTACCCTACTTATGAAATAACATTTGATAGTCGAGGCGGTAGCATGATTCTTCCCCAGGAAATCAATTATGGCGAGACAGTAACTGAACCTTCTAATCCTACACGAGTAAATTATAACTTTGGTGGATGGTACGAAGATGAATCATTGACCACTATTTTTGATTTTGAAAATATGATAGTTACTAACGACCTAACTCTTTATGCCAAATGGAATGCAGTTCAATATACCATAACATTTGACAGTCAAGGTGGTAGCACGGTTCCAGCTCAGCAAGTCAATTATGGCGAGACAGTAATTCAACCTTCTAATCCTACACGAGTAAATTATAACTTTGGTGGATGGTACGAAGATGAATCATTGACCACTGTTTTTAATTTTGCAAATATGGTAGTTACTAACGACCTAACTCTTTATGCCAAATGGAACGCAGATCAAAACGCAGTTCAATATACCATAACATTTGACAGTCAAGGTGGAAGCACGGTTCCAGATCAACAAGTCAATTCTGGAGAGACAGTAATTCAACCTTCTAATCCTACACGAACACATTACAACTTTGGTGGATGGTATCAAGATGAATCATTGACTACTGTTTTTAACTTTGCAAATACAGTAATCACTAGCGATCGAACTTTGTATGCCAAATGGAACAGAATTGAATATACCGTAACATTTGATAATCAAGGTGGAAGCACGGTTCCAGATCAACAAGTCAATTCTGGAGAGACAGTAATTCAACCTTCTAATCCTACACGAACACATTACAACTTTGGTGGATGGTATCAAGATGCATCATTGACTACTGTTTTTAATTTTGCAAATACAGTAATCACTAGTGATCGAACTTTGTATGCCAAATGGAATGCAGTTCAATATACCATAACATTTGACAGTCAAGGTGGAAGCACGGTTACAGCGCAACAAGTCAATTCTGGAGAGACAGTAATTCAACCTTCTAATCCTACACGAACACATTACAATTTTGGTGGATGGTATCAAGCATCATTGACTACTGTTTTTAATTTTGTAAATACAGTAATCACTAGTGATCGAACTTTGTATGCCAAATGGAACAGAATTCAATATGCCGTAACATTTGATAGTCAGGGTGGTAGCACGGTTCCAGATCAACAAGTCAATTCTGGAGAGACAGTAATTCAACCTTCTAATCCTACACGAACACATTACAACTTTGGTGGATGGTATCAAGATGAATCATTGACCACTGTTTTTAACTTTGCAAATACAGTAATCACTAGTGATCGAACTTTGTATGCCAAATGGAATGCAGTTCAATATACCATAACATTTGACAGTCAAGGTGGAAGCACGGTTACAGCGCAACAAGTCAATTCTGGAGAGAAAGTAATTCAACCTTCTAATCCTACACGAACACATTACAACTTTGGTGGATGGTATCAAGATGCATCATTGACTACTGTTTTTAATTTTGTAAATACAGTAATCACTAGTGATCGAACTTTGTATGCCAAATGGAACAGAATTCAATATGCCGTAACATTTGATAGTCAGGGTGGTAGCACGGTTACAGCGCAACAAGTCAATTCTGGAGAGAAAGTAACTCAACCTTCTAATCCTACACGAACACATTACAACTTTGGTGGATGGTATCAAGATGAATCATTGACCACTGTTTTTGATTTTATAAATACAGTAATCACTAGTGACCAAACTTTATATGCCAAATGGAACATAATAGAATACACCTTCACCTATGGTGCCGTTTTTAAAGACGGGCAAGGTGGTGTGGACGGATTGAATCATGCAGAATCTGTTGCCGTTAGTCCAGAGGGGAAAATGTCTATGTGACAGGTTTTAAAGATGATGCCGTGGCAGTGTTTAACAGAAATACAACAACTGGTGTACTCACTTATAGCACCGTTTTTAAAGACGGGCAAGGTGGTGTGGACGGATTGGATGGTGTAGATTCTATCACCGTTAGTCCAGATGGAAACAATGTTTATGTGACAGGTTATTACGATAATACTTTGGTAGTGTTTGACAGAAATAGGACAACTGGGGCACTCACCTATAGCACCTTTTTTGAAGACGGACGCTTTGGTGTGAACGGATTAAATGAAGCAGCTTCTGTCATCGTTAGTCCAGATGGGAACAATGTCTATGTGGCAGGTTATAAAGATGATGCCGTGGCAGTGTTTAACAGAAATACAGCAACTGGGGCACTCGCCTATAGCACCATTTTTAAAGACGGAGTAGATGGTGTGGACGGATTGAATGGAGCTCAATCTGTCACCGTTAGCTCTGATGGAAAAAATATCTATGTGGCAGGTTATAATGATGATTCCGTAGCAGTGTTTAACAGAAATACGAAAACTGGTGTACTTGCCTATAGCACCGTTTTAAAAGACGGGCAAGGTGGTGTGGACGGATTGGATGGAGCTCAATCTGTCACCGTTAGTCCAGATGGGGAAAATGTCTATGTGGCAGGTTATCAAGATAATGCCGTGGCAGTGTTTAACAGAAATACGACAACTGGGGCACTCACCTATAGCACCGTTTTTAAAGACGGAGTAAATGGTGTGGACGGATTAGTTGGTTCAACTTCTGTCATTGTTAGTCCTGGTGGAAACGATGTCTATGTGGCAGGTTATGAAGGTAATGCATTGGCAGTGTTTAACAGAAATACGACAACTGGAGCACTCACCTATAGTACCGTTTTTAAAGACGGAGTAAATGGTATGGACGGATTGGCTGGTGCTCGATCTGTTGCCGTTAGTCCTGATGGAAAAAATATCTATGTTGCAAGTGAGAATGATAATGCTTTGGCAGTGTTGAACGGTAGCGAGTGAAACTAGTGGATAAAATTATATTTGGTCAAAGAAATTCTATAAAAAATGTTATAATATTTTGGAATATACTCATTAATTAATGTAAAAGTATATAAGTTTAAAATTTATTTTATAGTATTTTTACTACTATAAAAAAGGGAAAAAATGAATAAAAACAATAATATCATCAAAGCAATTAATCATTTGATAGCTAGCCAAATTAGATTAAATTCGCTAATTAAGTTTACTGGATCACCATTAACCTTCTTCTTTGTTTTATGGACTTTTATAATCCTTACATCTTGTGGAAGTGGAATCGTAGAACCTGTTCACACCGTAACATTTAATACCGACGGCGGAAGTGCAATTGCTTCCCAGCAAGTCAATCACCGCGAGAAGGCTACAATGCCCACCGAGACCCCTACCTTTAGTGGTATGACATTTGAAGGGTGGTACCAAGATGCAGCAGTGACCACTGTTTTTAACTTCGAAAATACAGAAATCAGAAGTAGTCTAACTGTGTATGCTAAGTGGAATGGGCATTCTTATTCCACCGTTTTAAAAAATAGCGAAAATGGGATACCTGATAACCCAAATTATAACCAAGCTAATAGAGCAATTACTGCTACTGCTAGCTCTGATGGAAAAAATGTCTATGTAATGAGTAGTATATTGGGACTGGAGGTTTTGGTCGTGTTTAATAGAGATGCGACTACTGGTACACTCACCCATTCCACTAATATCTTTACGGCAGATGTAGGTGGAGGGACCGAAATGATGGGTGGTAGGGGTATCACCGTAAGTCCTGATGGAAAAAATGTATATGTATCTTTGTTCTCCTCTACTGCTCCTGCACCTGATGATGGTGATGGCTTGGTAGTGTTTAACAGGAATACGACAACTGGATCACTCGCCTATAGCACCGTTTTAAAAGACAACAAGAATGGTGTGGATGGATTGGCTGGTGCATATACTATTACCGTTAGTCCTGATGGGAAAAATGTCTATGTGGCAGGTAGTACAGATGATGCCTTGGCAGTGTTTGACAGAGATACGACAACTGGGGCACTCACCTATAGCACCAATTTTAAAGACGGAGTAAATGGTGTGGACGGATTGGAAGGGGCAATCTTTATTGCGGTGAGCCCTGATGGGGAAAATGTCTATGTGGCAGGTTTTGACGATGATGCCTTGGCAGTGTTTAACAGAGATACGACAACTGGTGCACTCGCCTATAACGCCGTTTTTAAAGACAATCAAGGTGAAGTGGACGGATTGAATGAAGCATTTTCTGTCACCGTTAGTCCAGATGGGAAAAATGTCTATGTGGCAGGTTTTGAAGATGATGCCTTGGCAGTGTTTAACAGAGATACAGAAACTGGTGCACTTACCTATAGTAACGTTTTTAAAAACGGTACTAACGGGGTGGACGGATTGAATGGAGCATTTTCTGTCACCGTTAGTCCAGATGGGAAAAATGTTTATGTGGCAAGTGATGCAGATAATGCCTTAGTTGTGTTTAAAAGAAATACGACAACTGGTGCACTTACCTATAGTACCGTTTTTAAAGACGGAGTAAATGGTGTGGACGGATTGAAAGAAGCCCAATTTGTCACCCTTAGCCCCAATGGAAAAAGTATCTATGTGGGAGGTAGAGGAGATGGTATTCTGGCAGTGTTTCACAGGAGGTAGTGAAACTAGTGGATAAAATTAATTTGGTTAAAGAAAATGAATAAAAACAATAAGGTTAACACAATAAACAAAGCTTTAGAAGCTAATCAAATTAGTTCAATGATTTATCAAACTAGTTCCACTTCATACTATTACCCTTCTTCTTTGTTTTAAATAAAATATATTTTGGGATATATTTTTCAATAAAAAGCTTTACACTGCTTCCAATACTCTTTCATATTGTAAGCAGTTTTATTTATTCCTTTCTCCTCAAACGAGTTTCTTTTTGTCTTCTTAATTTAAAAAAATAAATAAGAATTAATAGGAACTAAAATTTACGGAAGCTTTGCTAAAAAAATTCAATCCATTTAATTTTTGATTGGCTGACTTCTTCATTGCGAATAAGATTAATTGAATTAACACCAAGGACTATTACAAGTCTTTTAATAAATATTATATAATTAGAAAACTACAAAAATAGCTACAGGCTTATAATATTAAAATCAAATGAGATTTTTTTCAACAGGACTCCTCCTTTTTAGTTTACAATTTTTTACACTATTCCTACAAGCTGAAACATTTATTTCGCCATCTCAACTTAAAAGAGGAGATTTTTTAACTGGCAAAACTCGGATTGACGGCAATGAGATGCATGAATTCTCTCTTGAAATCATTGCCATTCAACACAGAGGACGAGAAGAATATAATATTTTTGCCACCGTTAAAAGCGATTTCCTCAATGAAACAGGTGTCGCTGCAGGAATGAGTGGTTCTCCCGTCTATTTCAAGGGTCAATTAGTCGGTGCAGTAGCATCAACTTTTTCTTTCCTTAAAAAACCGATTGCAGGAATCACGCCAATTAAAAGTATGCTCAAGGTCTTTAATCATGTAGGGAAAGAACCCCCTGATATTGCCTCCATTTCAGACTTATCATTTGACCAATCTTTATTTGTTAAAATGGGTTTCTCTATTGACCCTAATGATCCATCATTGGCTTCCATGAACCATTTATTTGAAATTCTATCAAAACGTTATTCTCCCACTATGATGCAGTCCGCAATTACTTTTGAAGCCTTTTTGAGATTTTTATCTCAACCACCTAGGTCTTCGATCTTAAACATTGAAAAAAAGGAGTTTTATAGCGAGGATGATGGCCAAAATAATCTTGAAGGCTTGGTTTCCCGACCAATTTCTCAGCCTTTTACTTTTTCTACCCCTTTCCCTATAAGCATTGGGGGTCTTGGTCACTTAAAAGACATCCTTGGTTTTAAGCATGCCACCTTTATTCCAGGAGGGGGTGCACCTTCACTTAAGAACAGCTCGAAGAAAAACTCATCAGCCGATGCATTTTTAGAAACGGACAAGCTTGAACCGGGAGACTACATTGGAATTAATCTTGTGAGAGGGGATATTAACCTTTCGAGTTTTGGAACAGTGACTTATGTGAGCAACCATTCCATTCTTGCTTTTGGTCATTCGATGAGTGGCATTGGAGCAGTGGAACTTCCTCTCTACAAAGCAAAGGTAGAGACCTTTATTCCTCTTCAAGTTGTGTCTTTTAAGTTAGGTAGTTTAGAAAAAGAAATCGGTAGTTTGGTGCAAGACCGTCAGGCTGCCGTATCAGGTGTCATAGGAAAAATGGCAGAATATGTTCCCGTTAGATTAGATTTAAAAAGCCCTATTCAAAATGAAAGCTATCGTTTTGAAGTTGCTCAAAACTTAAACTTTTTTGGTCAATTAGTATCTTTTTTATTAATCAATGTTTTTAGTTACTTTGAAAATACTGGGACTTTCGGTAGTTTTGAATATCGACTGCAAATCGATACAGATCTTCATTCCGATTCTTCTTCAAGAAGCATTGTTTTTTCTAATCGGATCAATGCTATGAACACAATAGGCAAGTTGTTTGGAACAATGTTTTTAATCGATCAAATCGACAGAGAAATTAGAAATAATCGCTTTTTAAAGACGAAAATTACCAATATTCACCTGTCCTTGGAAACGAGTCCTGAAGTTAATTTTCAATGGGTTGAGTCCGTCAAAAAGAAAAAACAATTCTACAAACCTGGGGAAGTCGTCCAATTTCAGGTGGAATTCAATCAGTTTAGGAAACCAAATCGTATTGAGGAATTCTCCTTTACTTTACCAAAAAATTTATCTGAAGGACAGCACTATATCATTGTGAGTTCTGAATTCGATCGATGGCTCTTTAATTTATTTAATTATTACCGTGCAAAAAAAAATTTAACCCTCAATGAAAAGTTTGAATTTTACGAAAAAATCCCTCGTGATAACTTGCTTAACATTTGGATGGTACAAGAAGAACCATCCTTTGTATTTGATCAAGAAGTTTATCATCGCTTGCCAGCAAACCCCAAAAACTTATTGTGGAATTCCTTCCAATCAAGTAAAGGTACTTTCAATCGAGTGATCCACCAAGCGATTCCTCGATCCGGCTTTGTCAGAGGATCTGCTGTATTGGATATTCAAGTAAGAAAAAAATTAAAAGACTAACATAAAATAAGTAATATAAAAAATTATTAACTCACATGCAATACTCAAACCAAGAACGAAAACCATTATCTTTTTTTAGAATGATTTTTTTATTATTCTTGACAACCATTTTATTCTCTCTATCTTTTTTATGGTCTGAGAAAACACAATCAGTTACTATTAACGGTGCGGATTGGATGGATCAATCCAAGTTCGAAAATGCCTTTATTAATCAACTTGAAAATTTACAACTCTCTTATGAGGTGAAAAAAATCATTTCCTTAAATGAAATGAATACTGATAAGTCCAATTCCACCACTCCAGTAAATGAAGAAGGTGAAATCTACGAGTTGTCTCAGTCGCCATCAGTTATTTGGGATGTTTATAAAGACCGCGAAGGCATTATCATCGCCACAGGTAGCAAAGGTAATCTTTTTTTCTTTGACAACAATAATCGCTTTCAAAAAAGCCTCTCCCTTCCAGCATCTGAAATTACTTGCTTGGTCAAAGATTCCAAAGGCAACCTATATGTTGGGAGTGGGGTAGAAGGAAAGATTTTTCGGATTAATAAGCGACATGAAGTGGAAGAATGGTTCAACACAGAGGAACAGTTCGTTTGGAAATTACGAATTATTGGGAATAACCTTTGGGCTACCACAGGAGGAGAATCAGGTAAAGTCTTTAAAATTCCTTTGTCATTTAAAAGCAATAAAGACAGTTCTAATAAACCCGATCCCATTGTTAAAGTCAATGAGCCGAATATTATGAATATTGAATTTCAAGGACAAGATTTTTGGATTAGTACTTCTTCGCCTGGAAAACTTTATAAAGTCAATATTGAAGCTGGATCTAAAAAAAGTAAATTAGAAGTGATCTTTGATGCGGGAGAAAAAGACATTGCCGACTTCACTTTTATTGATGAAGAAATTTTTCTTCTTACTTCAGGGCAAGAGATTACCTCTTTACAAGAATCCCCTCTGCATAATGGTGGGGAAAGTGTTGCTGATGAAAATCAATTGTCTTCCGAAGATCTATATCCAGAAAGTAATGGTGCGGAAGGTGGTTTTGCGAATTTTGAAGGATCATTTCCCGTGGATAAAGGTCCTTCTTATCCAAAGAATTACTTGGTTAAAATCGATAAAAACTATCAAACAACTTTCATCTATCACTTTGCCAAGAAAAATCCGGTTAAAGTAAACTATAAAAAAAAGGATAAGAAGCTTGTCATCGGTATCTTAGAAAATTCTGAGATTTATCAAATCCCGATCAATAATCTTAATACGGTAGAAAAGATTTTTTCTAAGGAATCGGCTAGTCTATCCAGTTTTTTTTTAAGTGGGGACAATCTTTTTTTTACAATAGCGAATCTTGGAGAAATTTATCAGATGAATTCTACTTTTGTAGAAAAAGGTCGATATGAAAGCAAGGTTTTCGATTTCAAGGAAAATGCTAATTGGGGCAGGGTGGTCTACGAAAACTACTCCAAAAACAACGATATCAAAATCTATTCACGAACGGGTAATACGCAGAATCCAGAAGAGTATTGGAGTGAGTGGCAAGAGGTGAAAGAGAAAATCGACAGTCGATCGGCGAGATTCCTTCAATTGGCAGTTGAGATGAGAAGGAGGCGGGATAGTAGCCCACAAATTCACGAAGTGAAGTTTTTCTATGGGGTTCCAAACAAGCCGCATCGTATCTTGTCTCTTAAAATCTTCAAACAAAACCCCTTGATGCCCTTACCTCTTGAAACCTTCAATCAAAGCGGTGAAGGTGTTTTAGAGGTTTTTGACATTGATAAGTCGCTTAACACAACCTTCTCAACAACGGGAGACAGTTTAATTTCTTCCTTAAAAATAGATGGATCTCCCGAAGCTCTTCTCAATCAAGTTGGAAAGAAAAATTTTGTAATGAACTGGGAAGTAGAAAATCCTGATATGGATACCCTCACCTATCAAATTTATTATCGCATCAAAAAGAAGTCTAAGTCTTCTTCTTCGCAGTTTTCTCAGTGGAAAGTTTTTAGGGGAAATTATCTAAATAATTTAATCCTTCTAGATGGTTATAAATTCATTGATGGAATTTATCAGTTTAAACTTGTTGCTGAAGATAATCTCAACAATGAAATAGGAAAATCTTATAAGCATGAGGCTCTTTCCGCCTTCCATGTCTTTGATAACAAGCCACCTCATGTTAATAATCTCAAATTGACATCAAGCTCCATTTCATTTAAGGCAACAGACAATCTTTCATCCATCCAGTCCGTTAAATACACTGACGATAAAAAAACCGTTTACCTAATCAATCCAGTTGATGGAGTGTTTGACGGACTTACGGAGGAATTTTTTTTTAAAAGCTCGGCAGATGAAATTGTCTTAATCATTACGGATGCATCTAACAATATTTTGTATCACAGCATAGAGAGATAGAAGTGTATCCAGAATGTCGTTTATCGACCAATTTTGAAAAAGTACTTCCCATCATATCACTGGAAAAAAAATATCAATTGATGGAAAAGCAAGCTTATCAAGAAATTCTTCTGCAACAGGAATATGCTGATCTTCTCAATCAAATTTCCAACTTCAAGCAATTGACTCAACTTTTAAACCCTGTTTGTTTTGATCATACAGAAAATCCAATCCGATTTTCGTTTAAAGAAGACAAGATTGTCGATAAAGCAGAAATAGAAAAATTTCAGCAAAACAAAAGTCAATTGATTGAGGATCTCATTCCGTGGAGGAAAGGACCAATTGATTTTTTTTCGACACTCATTAATTCAGAATGGGATTCCTCCATCAAGTGGGATCGCCTTCGCGAAATCCTTGACATCAAAGACAAAGTGGTCTGTGACCTTGGATGCAACAATGGTTATTTCATGTTAAGACTACTCTCGCTATCTCCTTCATTAATTGTAGGGATGGATCCAGTTTCCAAATATTTTCTACAATATACCTTTTTAACTTCCTTGTTGTCCTCCTCCATTCTTAGTCGTCTTTCATTTCTTCTTATGGGGTTCTCCTGTCTCCATTATTTTAAAGCGAGTTTTGACTGGATACTTTGTTTGGGTATTCTCTATCACCATCCCAATCCTATTGAAATCCTACAACTTATAAGAAATAGTTTGAAGCCAGGCGGAAAGGTCGTGATTGATTGTCAAGGAATTGCTGAAGATGGGAATGTTTGTTTATTTCCTGAGAAGACCTATACTGGCAAGAAGGGTTTTTGGTTTCTTCCCACACCGACTGCTCTTGTCAACTGGATGAAGCGGACTAATTTTAGTCACATTGAAATCCTTGCACAAGAGCCTATCCTTCCAGAAGAGCAACGCAGAACCGTTCATTCTCCAATCGACAGTTTAAAAGAAGGGCTGGCTGAAGACGGTCAAACCACAGAAGGTTATCCGCCACCCATTCGCATTTATCTATTGGCTCAAAAATGAAAGTATTAACTCCTATGATGAGGCAATACTTTGAAATTAAAAATCAACATCCCGACAAGTATATTTTTTTCCGCTTGGGTGATTTTTATGAAATTTTTAGCGAAGAGGCCGTTGAAGTTTCTAAAATCTTAAATATCACTCTCACTAAGAGGAATAACATTTACATGTGTGGTTTCCCGCACCAACAACTCCATCATTACACTCAAAAGGTGATCTCCAAAGGCAAGAAAATTGTCATTGTCGAACAAATGGAAAAACCAGAAGACTCTTCTCAAAAATTAGTTGAAAGGAAGGTTTCACAAATCATCACACCCGGGACAACCTTGGATGATTTTAATTTGTTGGAAAAAGAAAAAAACTTTATTATTCACCTTTCCTTTAATGAAGCGGCTTTGAATCTTTTAGTTTCTACCCATTCCTATTTTTTGGTTGCTCTTGATATTTCAACGGGTGAAACGATCTTTGTTAGTTTACAAGACAAGCAGGATTTGGAAAACGAAATCGATAGATTTTTTGAAAACTATTCTCCTAAGGAAGTTATTCTTTTCAAAGAGGACGAAACAGGTGGATCTCAAGAGAGTTTTTATAATATAGAAAAAATCAAAAATAATTATCCGAATGCGATTATTAACTACTTGGATAAACCAGACCATGCCACCATAACTAATCGTCTTAACAGGGTTTTTTCGAAAACCCCGTTAGATTCTCAAGACTCTCAAGAAAATGATTCCTCATCATCTCCATTAAGTAATTTTTGGAGCGATCCTCAATATCCCGATTATCCTCTCGCTCAAGGATTGTGCCTCTTACTTAACTATGCTGAAAGCAACCAAAATGAAATCATCACCTATTTACAGAAACCCAAATGGATATCCAAGAAAAACTACATGGCATTGGATTTCCAAACACTAGTCCACTTGGAAATTTTTAAAAACAACCTTGATCACACTTCAAAATACAGTTTAATTTCCGTTATTGATTACACTCTTACTTCAATGGGAGCACGAAAACTCCAAGAATCGATTGCCCTGCCATCTCTTAATGCCGAACTCATCAATTATCGCCTTGATCAAACCGAGTATCTCTACCTTCACCCCCATACACTTAAGGAGATTCGTAGTCAATTAAAGAACATTTCCGATTTGGAAAGGATAGGGTCTCGCATTGTTTTAAAAAAAGTTTTACCAAGGGAATTCATCTCTTTAAAGCAATCTCTTAGATGCATTCATCAACTTTTTTCATTAGTACTGGGGAAAAATCCTAATCTACTTGTGTCTTCACTCAACCATAACATTCAACTTTTTGAAAAAATGATGCCAGTACTTCTTCAATTGATTAAGAGGATTGATGATTGTTTGGTCAGCTCGCCTGGTAATGACTTTCAAAAAGGTGGCATTGTTAAACCCGACATTGACCCTAAACTTAGCGAATATTTTCTTATTAAGAAAAATTCCGAGGAACTTCTTAGCCAATTAGAAGCAAAAGAAAGACAAAAAAGTACTATAACCAATTTAAAAATAAAATATAACGGTAACCTAGGCTTCTTCTTTGAAACTCGCAAGCATAACTTAAAAAATATTCCAGAATATTTCATTCCTAAACAAAGTTTAGTCAATTGTGAAAGATTTACGACGAAAGAGCTCATTAAGCTTGAGGGGAAAATTATAGAAGCAACGGAAAAATCTTGCGCGTTAGAAAAAGAAATTTTCATGGGATTAAGAGATGAAATTGCTAAACAAGTAGGACTTTTTCAATCGATTGCTTCCTCCATTGCGGACATTGATTTAATTGCTAGTTTTGCTGAATTAGCAGTGACGAAAAATTATGTGAAACCTCAGGTGATTAATGAAGGAATGTTGTGTATTAAAGGAGGACGCCATCCTGTCATTGAAGAGCATATTCGAGAACCTTTTATCCCTAATGATTTGGAGATCGGAAATGAGGAAAATACAATTGAAATTATAACGGGACCGAACATGTCTGGGAAGTCAACATTCCTGCGACAGAACGCTATCATTGTTATCCTCGCTCAAATTGGAAGTTTTGTTCCCGCTCAATCAGCCGTTATTCCTATTTGTGATAACATTTTCTCTCGTATCGGATCGGGGGATCGCTTAGTGCAAGGAGAATCAACTTTTTTTGTGGAAATGAAGGAGACAACTAACATCCTTAGAAAACTGACATCGAAAAGCTTAATCATCATGGATGAAATAGGACGCGGAACCAGTACCTATGATGGGATCGCACTCGCATGGAGTCTGATTGAGCACCTTAATGAGGAAGGGCGAAAACCCAAAACTTTGTTTGCCACCCACTACCATGAACTTATTGTACTTAGTGAAAAAAAGGGTATCTCACACTACCATGTAACTGTTAAAGAAGAAGGAGAAGAAATCATTTTTCTTAAAAAAGTTATCAAAGGGATGGCTTCCAAGTCTTACGGTATCCACGTTGCTAAATTGGCAGGAATGCCATTTCCAGTTATTCAAAGGGCTCATGAAATACTTCATCGATTGGAAAGCAAACAGCCCGAAAAAGGAGTGGATCAAGTTTCTAAAAATTCTTCTTCATCTTCTAACCCAAAGCAATCAAGTATTCCCACCCCAATAGAAAAATCCTTATTGGAATTTGATATCAATACAAAAACGCCATTGGAAGCCATGCAGTTTTTATCTGAGTTAAACAGACAATTAAAGGATAAACCAAATAAAAATAGTTTTTGATCATTATTCTTACCCTTTTTTATTGATTATTGAAGTGGCATCGTTAGAGAGTCACATCCAAAGACCCCCTTCATTCATGATAAAATAATTTAACCGATGAATGATTCCAAGTCCCCCTTACCAAAGCGAGTTATCAACAAAAAAATAGAAGAGATGTTCAATGACCTATCATCGGGCTCCTCATCAAAAAACCCAGACCATGAAACTCCTAAGGAGCAACCTAACCTCATCAAGCAGTTTTTTTCACACAGGGCATTTGTCATTTTTGGACTTGTCATTCTCTCAGGTTGGACGTTTTATTTTATCAATTATTTTTCTAAACCAACACTTCAGCAAGTTCAAATGGAACGCTATTGGGGATGGGAGAGCCCAGCTCCTATTTTTTCCACTCCCATTATCATGGATGTGGACAAGAATGGGCTTCAAGATTTAATTTTTGTTGATAGTCTTGGGTTTATTCAAGCCATTGATCCTCGAACCAAGAAACAGCTTTACCGCACTCAGTTAGGGAGTTCAGCGGTTGCTTCGCTAGCTGCAGTTGATGTTGATGACAAAGATCCCGATGAAGTGCTGGTTGTCACCCAAGGCGGGAAATTCTTTACCATCAATCAAGACGGCAATTATTTTTATCAATCAAGAGAAGAGTTTTTTTCCGAGCCGCTTTACTCTAAACCCGTTAGTTTGTCGAAAAGTTTTTTTATTGCTGGTATGGAGGGAAGAATATGGGCAGTCAATTCTTCCTATGGCGAGGTTATTTGGGTGAACGAAAACTCTCCTTTGATTGGACAGAAAATCTTTCCTTCCCTCCTCTATGTTGAGCTGGAAAACCCTGTTTTATTTGCAGCGAGTGAGGAAGGGGGTGTCATTGCTTTAGATGCGACAGGTGGGGGATTGATTTGGGAAAAACAATTCGACACTGGTTTCAAGGCATCGCTTCTATGGGGACAGTTTATCGACCGAGAAATATTCACAAGAATGGGGGAAAAAAATGCCTTTAGCGATCATTCCTTATTTGCGAGCGGTTTGAATGGAGAGGTGTTCATCCTATCACCCCATGGGGAAATTCTTGGTAAGGGGAAAGGGGAAAAACCATTTATTAGTTCACCAGCTAAGGGGAGATTTAGCGAGAAAAGAATTGATCAAGCCGTATTGGCGAGTGAAGACGGCAAACTGTTTTTCACTCAAATTAACATCTCTCCCGAAGAAAGACAAGTCTCTATTGAATTAAAAAATATTTTCTCTCGTCCAACTGCCTTTATCAGCAGTCCAGTTGTTTTTGATTTCGATCATGATGGGATCGACGATATTTTGATTGTATCAAGAAAAGGAGATGTGTATTTAATCAATGGTAAGAATCATAACCTTTTCCTTCCCGCCTATGCACTTAATTTTAATGTGAGTAGTACACCCTTGGTTGCCGATCTTGATGGAGATATGGATATAGAAATAATCATCGGGGGAGAGAACGGCAAATTAGAAATCCTAACTCTCAAGACTACTCCAAAAATCTTTGAGAAATATGCTTTGATCAACACTCAATTTTTAAAAAACTCTATGAATCAAAACTAATAACCAAAACTAATTATGGAAAGAAAAAAAATTTTAATCACTGGGGGATTGGGTTTCATTGGTAGCGCCTTTCTTTGGTACCTTAACAAAAAAGGCTACAACGACATTGTTCTTTGCGACCGCTTTCGTACAGAGGAAAAATGGAAAAATGTCCGCAATCTCCATTTTAGTGACATTATCTTAGTTGAAAACCTATGGGAGACCATTCAAAAAAATAAGTTTGATGTGATGATCCATCTCGGTGCTTGTTCTTCCACCACTGAAAAGGATATGGACTTTCTCTTCTCAAATAATTATGAATTCTCTAAGAGGCTTTGGCAAGTAGCCACGGATCAAGGATCGACTTTCATCTATGCTTCTTCGGCTGCCACCTATGGTAATTTTCACCAATCAAAAGACTTCCCAAATTACCCCGACATCAAGAAGCTAACCCCGCTTAATAAGTACGGTTATTCCAAACAGCTTTTTGATCTGTGGGTGGAAAGACAGATCATTGAAGGAAACACCCCTCCCGAATATGCGGGCATTAAATTTTTTAATGTTTTTGGTCCTCATGAATATCATAAGGGGTCAATGGCATCGGTGGTCTATCATGCTTATCAACAAATGGAAAAAAAAGGGGAAGTCAAACTTTTTCAATCGCATAACCCCCATTTCAAAGACGGTGAGCAGAAAAGGGACTTTGTTTATATCAAAGATGTTTGTGTTGCTATGTATTTATTGATGACTCGATTAGGTGAAATTAAAAAAAACAAGATGAATGAACAGTCCTTTTTATTTGATTTAGGGACAGGAAAGGCTTCCACTTTCAAAGAATTGGTGATCCCCATTGCGAAAAAAAATATTCAATACATCCCTACTCCAGAAAGCTTAAGAAAAAATTATCAATATTTCACGCAAGCCAATATGGTTGACTGGAGAGAATATTTCAAAATTAAGCATACTTTGCAAGAATCTGTGGAGGATTACCTGCACAATCATCTTGAAAAGGAAAACCCTTTTCTCAATGTGTTCGAGAAAGATGATTATTTATCGCTTAAATAACAATTGATAGTCTTTATGAAAGACAAACTTTTTAAGAAGCCTCCTTATCCTACTTCCTTTGTGTTTGACGAAAGGGTTGCAGAGGTTTTTGATGACATGCTGCTAAGGTCAATTCCACACTATCACCATGTAATGAAATTAAGCATTTCCTTCGCTGAAATGATTTTAAATCAAATCCCATCGGTAAAACTCGCAACACGATCCAAATCCCGATTTAGTAAAAATGGAATTCACTCAATCTACGACCTTGGATGCTCTACGGGAAGTTTTTTGTTAGAAATGGAAAATTCTATGAATAAAAAAATCCAACGAGCACAATTTATTGGAGTTGACCAATCTGAAGCGATGATTACCCAAGCCGTGAGGAAGTTAGAAAGCAAGCAAAATGCTGATAAGAAAAAATTGAATATTGAATTTACTTGTGCAGACTTAAGAAAACTTGAGATGAAACCCTGCTCCATGATCTTCATGCATTACACATTGCAATTCATTCCCCCCAATCAGAGACTGAAGCTTTTGAGAAAAATTTATCAAGCACTTCAAAAACAGGGCGGCTTCGTCTTGAGCGAGAAGATTAAAGAGCGTGGTCAAAGAATGAATGAACATTTTCAAAAATCCTATTTCGATTTCAAGAAAAAAAACAATTACACCCAATCTGAAATTGCACGCAAAAAGGATTCTCTTGATAAAGTGCTCCTTCCCAATTTTAGTGATACCTACATTAAGCAATTAAAAGAAATTGGATTTAAAGAGGTCTCAATTACTTTCAAGTGGCATAACTTTATTACTTATTTCGCTATCAAGTAAGCTGATTTCGAAGAATTCTTTGATTTTTAAACATGTTAGAATTTGAACGGTGTTTAAAAGTCGTCCAGCTTCCAATTCGTCTTCTCTTGAATACTTTATTTCTCTTCTTTTAATTATTATTTTCATACTTTCAAGTTGCGGTTCAACGTATCCAGATGAGGACTCATTTAAAAAAAAATATCCGGGAACCGATGATTATTATCTTTTTGACGATCTCACTTATAATTTGCAATCCAGTGGCATAGCTAATCATGATTACAATATTCCCGTATTGGAGTCTACCAATGCTGGAGCTGATCGGCTTTTCTTATTCAATCAAAGAGATGACATTTATTATCACGATGGATGGAATGTTGATTTTAAAGAATACGACAGCAGACTTTTTATTAAATTACAAAATGCCACTTCAACGAACAATCATGTTTTTACCAATGATGCATTCCCTTCTCAGTTGGAAGTGTATTATTACAAATTGATGAATGAACCTACTCAATTCACGAGAGGAGAGGTTTATATTAGCAAGGAAAACGATAATGCCTGGTGGGTTTCAGTTAATCTTTCAGAAGGAGCATTGAATTTCAACTATAGCAATCGCTATGTGAAGGCAAGCTACACGAACGGAGGATTTACAGTCGATCCATAATTCCAATGATTAGTGTTGAAAAAATAGGCGGCACGTCAATGATTCAGTTTGACAAAGTGCTTAACAATGTCATCTTAAATAAAAGTAATTTCACCCTACCATCATCGCCCTACAACCGCATTTTTGTGGTTTCTGCCTATGCGGGAGTGACAAATAAACTTCTGGAAAATAAAAAAACCAAAGAGGGAGGTATCTACCATAAGTTTGTACAAAAAAAGGGTTTTGATTCCTCCATCCGTGCACTTTTAAAGAATTTAAAAACGATCAACAGCAAATTTGATGGAATAGGTTTAAATGTAATAGAGGCAAATCGGTTCATTGAAGAACGGATTAATGCGATCACATTTCTTTTAAAGGACTTGGAGAGCGTGCTCACCTCGGGCTATGTTTTGCGAGAAAATATCCTTCTGGCAGCTAGAGAAATTTTGTCTTCAATTGGGGAGGTGCATTCCGCTTACAATTCAGCTAAAATCTTGGAAGCCCATGGGTATCAAGCCGAATTCATCGATATGAGTGGCTGGAGCGATTCAAGAAACTTAACCGTTGATGAGCGATTGCTTGAAAGGCTACAAAAGGTAGATTTCTCCAAACAAATTTCTTTTGTAACTGGCTATGTGAAAGGAACGGAAGGATTAATGAGGAGGTTCGACCGTGGGTATTCCGATATTACTTTTAGCAAAGTGTCAATTCTTATTAAGAAAAAATTGAAAAAAACCATTCCCGAGGTCACCATTTATAAGGAGTATCACCTTTCATCAGCCGATCCGTCCATCGCAGGGGAAAAGAACACTAAGCCAGTAGGCAACACCAATTACGATGTAGCGGATCAATTAGCTGATGTTGGGATGGAGGCGATCCACCCCCAAGCCTCCAAACCGTTGGAAAAAAACGGAATCAACCTGCGTTTGAAAAACACCTTTGAGCCCAATCATTCTGGAACATGCATTAGAAGGGATTACAAGGGCATGAAGGCTAAAGTGGAGATCATCACGGGTTCCAAAGAAATGGTTTTAGTGGAAGTGCACGACCCCAAAATGGTGGGCACGCCGGGTATTGACAATGAGATATCCAATATTTTCTACAACCACAATATTAGTTATGTCATTAAGACGACCAATGCCAATAGTATTTCTCAAGTGATTTGGGAGAAGAGTCTAACTCGGGAACTCATTAAGTCTTTGAAGAAAAAGAAGTATCAATCACTCACCATTGAAAAGATCGCTGTCGTCTGTGTGATTGGAACGAATATCGCAGTTCCTGGGGTTCTTCAAAGAGCGGCGACTGCCCTTGGTGAAAATCGAATCAGTGTTATGTGCATGAGCCAATCATTAAGGCAGGTCAACATGCAATTTGTTATCGACCGAAAAAATTACGAGAAAGCAATTAAAGTATTGAATGATGCTTTTTTTAATCATCGATAGTTGGAAGTGATTGTTGTCTCACCATCGGGTAAGCCCACCCATGCCATTATTTTTCTTCATGGATTAGGAGCGGATGGACATGACTTTGAAGACCTTCCCCGTCTTTTGAATTTAGATTTGAAGGAGGTTCAGCTCAAATGGATTTTGCCCCACGCTCCTCCCATTCCTGTAACAATTAATGGGGGAATGGTGATGAGGGCTTGGTATGACATTCTTAGCATGGATTTTGAAAGGGAAATTGATAGGCAAAGCATCACTCATTCGGTGTCAATCATTCATCAACTCTTAGATGACTTGGTCAAGGAAGGCATCCCCGCCAAAAATATTGTATTAGGGGGCTTTTCGCAGGGAGGGGCAATGAGTTTGGAAGCAGGGTTGCACTATCCACAAAAGTTGGCGGGGCTTATCTGCTTGTCCGCTTATCATCTTAGTATCAATGAAATAGAGGATGGTTCGTTAGATCATTATAAAACCCTTCCGATTTTCATGGCTCACGGTCATCAGGATTTGGTGGTTCCATTCAAACTCGGGGATCAGCACCGCCATGTTTTCGCGGATAGGGGATTCAATATTAATTGGTATGAAGACGAAACCCTCGGCCACAGCCTTAACGACAAAGAAGTTATTTTGTTGCAGAAATGGCTTCGAGGGCTTTTAGATTCTTAGTGATGAAATGAAAAGTTATTGAAAGTAGTAGAAATCAAAGAGGAGACATCGTCATGACAAGTCATGAACAACGCGCTGAGCTACACAACAAAATATGGAAAATCGCTAACGATGTCAGAGGTGCAGTCGATGGATGGGACTTTAAGCAGTATGTGCTTGGCTCTCTCTTCTACCGCTTCATCAGTGAAAATTTCACTAGCCACATGGAAGCTGGTAATAAGAGCATCAATTATGCTGAGTTTTCTGATGATGCCATCACTCCCGAAATCAAACACGAAGTAATTAAAGAAAAGGGCTACTTTATCTCCCCTAGTCAGCTTTTCGTTAATGTCGTTAAAAATGCCAATAACAATGAAAGTTTGAATACCGACCTCGCCACTATATTTAAAGAAATCGAAAAATCAGCAAGTGACTACGATTCCGAAGATGATATCAAGGGTCTGTTTGGCGATTTTGATACCACCAATATTCGTCTTGGCAGCACAGTGAAAGAAAAAAACTCCCGCTTGAGTGCTGTTCTTAAAGGAGTTGCTGAGTTGAATTTTGAGGATTTTAATGGCAGTCAGATTGATCTATTTGGTGATGCCTATGAGTTTCTCATTCATAACTATGCCGCAAACGCGGGAAAGTCTGGTGGTGAGTTTTTCACTCCACAACATGTATCCAAATTACTTGCAAAGCTGGCGATGCATAACAAAACCAGGATTAATAAAATTTATGACCCCGCTTGTGGGTCTGGTTCATTGTTGCTGCAAGCCAAGAAAATTTTTAATGATGATATTGTGGATGAAGGTTTTTTCGGTCAAGAACTCAATCACACCACCTACAACCTTGCCCGCATGAACATGTTTTTGCATAACATTGGCTATAATAAGTTCTCTATTAAGCGAGGCGATACACTTATGAATCCACATTTTGGCGATGGCGAGCCTTTTGATGCGATTGTTTCTAATCCGCCTTATTCGGTGAAGTGGATTGGGTCGGACGATCCAACACTGATTAATGATGACCGCTTTGCCCCAGCCGGTGTGCTCGCACCAAAATCCAAGGCAGATTTTGCCTTTATAATGCATGCACTCAGTTATTTGTCCAGCAAGGGGCGTGCAGCCATTGTCTGTTTTCCCGGTATTTTCTATCGCGGTGGCGCAGAACAGCAAATCCGAAAATACCTCGTAGATCATGATTATATAGAAACGGTGATTTCCCTTGCGCCTAATCTTTTTTATGGCACCAGCATTGCGGTAACGGTTTTGGTGCTGGCGAAAAACAAGCCCGATACCAACATCCAGTTTATCGATGCTAGCGGTGAAGAATTTTTCAAAAAAGAAACCAATAATAATGTGATGACTGATGAGCATATTAAAAAAATCATGGATGTGTTTGATAGTAAGAAAAATATCGCTCATATCGCCCAATCTGTCCCTCTTAAAAAGATCAAGGAGAATGACTATAATTTATCAGTGAGCAGTTATGTAGAGGCAAAGGACACACGCGAGGTGATTAATATTACGGAGTTGAATTCGGAGATTAAAACGACAGTTAAGAAAATTGATAGGCTTCGTAGCGACATTGATAAAATTATTGCACAGATTAATAAATGAGCATTAAATGAGCAAGCCGAACTATTTAGAAAAACTATTGGATGGTGCGGAGGTGGAGTGGATGCCGTTGGGGGATATAGGCACATTGAAACGTGGTCGTGTGATGTCAAAAGAATACCTAGTTGGATAATATCTGGAAAATTCCTGTAGTTTACAACGGAGTCACCCAAAGGCTGCAAAAAATTATACAAGAAGAAAATAAAAAGATTAGTAAACGATTCTTGAGGGAGAATATATTTCTTGGACAACTGATGGTGCAAATTATTGGATTTGGTTTTTCATAGAACAGGAAATTCTACCATTAAAAATGTATGCGGTTATAATAAAATTGGTATTATTGAATCTCGTGCAATGTTTATAAATTTTGATATTGATTTAGTGATATATTAAAGTGTATAAAAGCCATGTCTATTCTGGCATTCAAGGTTATGATTTCATCGATTACCCTGCTTTAAAAAACATATTGATACTGAAAGCAAAATACTCTTTAGGTTGAAAAAATACTTATCCCCATCCCATGCCCGAATAATCCAAAAAAGTCGCTGAAAATTCAATCGGAGATTGTGCGAATTTTAGACGCCTTCACCGAGCTTACCACCGAGCTTACCACCGAGCTTACCGCCCGCAAAAAACAATACACCTATTATCGGGATCAACTGTTGACTTTTGATGAGGATGAGGTGGAGTGGAAAACCACAATGTTGCGGTTTAAACAAATTGCACAATACTCCAAGACCCGCATAAGCCATGCTCAACTGGATAAAACGAATTATGTCGGGGTTGATAACCTTCTGCAAAATCGCGCTGGAAAAGAAGAATCAAGCCATGTTCCAACATCTGGCAACCTTACAGAATACCGCGAAGGTGATATTTTAATCGGTAATATACGTCCATATCTAAAGAAGATTTGGCATACAGATCGTATTGGTGGCACGAACGGTGATGTGCTTGTGATTCATATTACGGATAAAAACGTAAGTTCATTTGTTTCTACTAAAACCGCAGAAAATTTGTATCAAGTATTGGCGGAAACACAAAGAACTTTGAATACAATATGCAGCATGCTAAGGGCGCAAAAATGCCTCGTGGCAACAAGTTAAAGATTATGGAATACAATATACCTATTCCTAAAAATGAAGCCGAACAAGCCCGCATCGTTTCCATCCTTGACAAATTCGACACCCTCACCCACTCCATTAGTGAGGGCTTGCCCCGTGAAATTGAATTGCGCCAAAAACAGTATGAGTATTATCGGGATTTGTTGTTAAATTTTCCGAAAAAAAAAGAATTAAATTTTATTTTATTGATAATAATTATTAATTAATTTTATTAACGATGAAAGAAAAAATTTTAAAAAAATCAGTAATAATAGTAGGAGCAGGACCAGCAGGAATTGGAATGGGTGTTGTTTTAATGAAAATGGGGATTGATTATATAATTTTAGAAAGAAATTCAGTTGGTTCTTCATTTAAGAAATGGCCAAAGACTATGAGATTACTTTCTCCTAGTTTTACTGGAAATTATTTTAATGCACCTGATTTAAATTCAATTTCTCCAGATACTTCTCCAGCTTATAGTTTAGATACTGAGCATCCTACAGGTTTAGAATACTCTAAATATTTAGAATCAGTTGCTGAAGAATATGATTTAAAAGTTACTTTTGGAGTTGATATTATTAATGTTGAAAAATTAGAGGATGGAACTTTTAGATTAGTTAGTTCAAAAGACACCTATATTGCAAAATATTTAATTTGGGCAGGTGGTGAATTTCAATATCCTAAATTGAATAAAATCAAAGGTTCTGAAAATTGTACTCATAACTCGCAAATTAAATCTTTTAATAAGATAAAAGGAGATTCTTTTGTAATTATTGGAGGCTATGAATCAGGATTAGATTCTGCAATTCAATTAAGTAAATTAAATAAGAAATCAATTATTTTAGAATCTTGTAAAGAGTTAGGAGATTTAAGAAGTGATTCAAGTTATTCATTATCTCCTTACACTAAAGATAGATTCAAAGAAACTAAAAAAAACATTACAATTCATACATCTCAAAAAGTTAAAGAAATCACTTTAAATAATTTTGAGTATAATGTTATTTGTGAATCAGGAGATGTATTTAAAACTAAATCAAAACCAATTTTAGCAATTGGATTTGAATCAAGTTTAAAGTTAATTAAAAATTTATTTTCTTATAAAGATGGAATACTTGAATTAAATGATTTTGATGAATCCACAATCACTAAAAATTTGTTTTTAGTAGGTCCACAAGTAAGACACAAAAATGTAATTTTTTGTTTTATATATAAATTTAGACAACGTTTTGTCATTGTAGGGAAAAAAATTTCTCAAGAATTAGGAATTGAAAATTCAGATTTAGTTCAACAAACAATTGAAGAATACGGAAGTATGAATTTTTATTTAGACGATTTGTCTTGTTGTGATAATGAGTGTGATTGTTAATTTAATTAAAAATAAATAATGTAAAAAGTTAAAAGAGAAAAATGAAAAAAGAATATCTGATGCCAATTATTTTTCTAGTATCAATTATACTTGGTTCAATTCTAGGATTTATTTTTCATGGCTTATCTGTTTTTATTTCAAATTATACAGATTACATGTTATTTATTCTGATTTTTTTAATTTTTTTAGAAACTCCTTTTGAAAATTTGTTTAACTCAATTAAAAATTATAAATTGTTAGGAGTTATTTTAGCAACTAATTTTATTTTAATTCCAATTATTGGTTTTATAATTTCAAATGCTTTTTTTAGAGGAAATGAATTAGTAATGCTTGGTCTATTAATTTATTTTATGGCACCTTGTACAGATTGGTTTTTAGGATTTACAAGAGTTGCAAAAGGAAATATTGGTTTGGGTTCACTTTTAATTCCAATCAATATGATTATTCAAATATTGCTATATCCAATATATTTATCTATTTTTATGAAAAAAAGTGTTAGTATTAGTATTATAGAAATGTTTTCAACTTTAATTGATTGGTTTTTAATCCCTTTTGTATTAGGGGTTTTATTACATTTTATATTGCTAAAATTATTAAATAAAAAATGGTTAGAAAGATCATTTAAATTTATAGGTATTTTAATCAACATTTCATTAGTTTTAATAGTTTCTTCTTTATCCGCGGTAAATATTTTAACTATTGTTGATATATTATCTATATTATTGTTATTACTATTTTCAGTATTTATTTTCTTTTTTGTAATATATTATTTAGTTAAGATTATTTCAAAATTTTTTAAATTAAATTACAAAGATTTTGTATTATTTTCAATGACAACTTCAGCAAGAAACACTCCAATAATGCTTGGAATTACAGGAACAGTGTTTCCGAACGAACCTTTAATTTATTCGGCATTAATTATGGGTATGATAATTGAATTTCCTTATTTATCAATTTTAAGTGGAGTTTTATTAAAAAAAAGAAAAAAATTAAAAATAGTAATTTAATTACATTATCACAT